CATTGACCCAGAGATGGACCAGGAACTGGACAAACTGTGAGAGCATGTGCACACACACACGTGCGCACGCACGCACGCACACACACACACACACACACACACACACACACACACACACACACACACACACACACACTCAGTCATCTCATCTTCTCCTGTCTTCTGTTCTTCTCTTTACATCTCCTCTTTTCTTGTCTCTCTCTGTCCAGAATCGCTCAGATCTCAGTGAGTCCCAGCAGCAATAGCAGTGGCAGTGCGGTGGGGGGGCTAAAGGAGTTGCAGAGGAGGGCCTCCCCCAGGAGGAACATTCACCACAGGAGGAAGATGGAGGTGGAAAGCGACGGCTCCACGGAGGAGACAGATTCCTCTGAGAACTGAGCTCTGACTTCTCACTACTCTGTGATGTGTAACCTTCCATCTTAAGTCCTAAACACACAGTGGCTGCATGATACACATCCAAACTTTTTTGCCCATTATTTGCTCTGTAAACTCACACACTTGTAGTAGACAAGAGAACATCAGTGCAGCGAAACCCTCCACCCTGTGATATTATATATATAGGGTATATACATATATGACACTGTCTTTTTGTCCAGCACCAATGTCCGGAAAAGCAGTGAGATGGCACCAGAATATTCACTGTTGATGCTACATGTTCTTTTTATGCTGTGTGGTCCTGATGATGGGCAAGTCCCTTGTCAACACATGGTCACGTGATGTACCATTGCTGTCTGGCTGCAGTGTTTTGAATTTTACTGTAATCTCTCCAAACAAAATGTTTGTATTCCCATCATTATTGGTTTGTTAGTAATGAGGACCATAAGAAAGAACACACTCTGTGGATGGATGTACTCCTGCTGCTCTGTGTTAACACTGGCCATTAACTTTCTCAGTTTGCTGAACAAAGTGAAAAGTATTAGAATATGTCCAACATTGATTGAAATAGCAGATTATGGTTCTCTGTGTCTTGAGCATGTTAAAGAACAGTGACCCCTCCACATCCTGTCTGTCCAAACCCACCTAGTAAACAGCTCAAGCATGAACTGTATTTACAGCACTAATTTGTTTATTATGAAGCTTTATGTGAATGTGATATTACATGTATGGAGATCCTCACTCACTGTGAATAATAAAGATGTAACTGATGATGCTGGTCACTGCTGGCTCATATCTGACTCTATGAGATATTTTATTGGCTCCTCACCTCCATAAAACTGGGGAACATAAAAGAGGGCAAGCTCCTGCCCAGATTACACTGATGACATCACTGTGACATCATCAGGTTATAATATACGTACAGTACATACGTAGCATATACTGTTCTTCTGTCTCTTAGATACTACATGGATGCTTTCTGGCCATTCATTTAATTTGTCATAATGTAATTATATATATATATATATACTCTATATGAATTTATTAATTGCCAATAGCCTTTTAGCACATTTAGCACCGCCTGTGCATTTTCACTGCATACATTGAAAAAATTTGACAAATAAATCTTTTAATTTTTCAACTGCCATGACTCAAATTTTGTCTTCCAACAGATTCATACATGTGAGTAGATCTGAGAGGAGCCAACTGTAAATTCTGTCCCGCTAAAAATCCCTTCTAAAACTGCAGTTAACTTACTGACCTATATTCTACAAAAATATGTATTTTAGGTGCAGTTGTAAACGTGATTTATTGACAAGAATAACCACCATCACTATCACCAGTCTGTGCAACTTGTCCTCATTTTACAACATTGATATCATGCGGTGTTACACCCAGGATTTGGTTATACCAACAGCATACAATAACTCCTATACAAACATACATACATACATACAGTATCTATACAGGATATATCTATATTGATGAGTTAAGTACAGTAGATCCCCATGGTGTTAGAATCACAGAAGTGGAATACATAGAAAGGACACTTTCTGGTGGATCAGAACAACTTACCATGGTGCACCTCAGATGGCTGACATGGAAATGAAAATGTCGTGGACAGTACATTACATGTGGTGCCTCTATAAAAAGGTCACATTAGCTCAGCCAATGGAAAGGTCAGTAAGATGATGACTTAAAAACTCCAGTAGTGTGCATGTTTTACCCTATCAATAATTTTCATAGGTTTTTTAACTTTTAAAACTTGAAATATGTAATCCATCATAGTGAACTTCTTCTCGTCTTATATTTTGAAAATAAAATTATCATTTTCTTATTGTTCTTAAATTAATGGAAGTCAATGGCAGTCTTAAAGGCAAGGAATGAAAGATTTTTAGTCAAGGTTTGTCTTAAGGGTTCATTTGCTACAAGTTTTGGGGACCATTACCACTATCTTCAGGCAGAGGCTGCATGCCTTGTATATATGTATTCAGTACCTTCAATCACTCTCTCAAGTACGTAGCATTTTGTCCACCATTTTTATCTCGCTTTTCTACAAACGCAGTGAAATAATGGGACAGAGAATTCTCCACAAAAATCTTAGCTATACTGCTAACGCTAATTATGATCCTAAAATTGAATTATATTGACACACAAAATCTCATTTTAGATTAACTGCTTAGCATAGAAAACTGGTGTAATGTTGACCAGTATTACAGTAAATATATAATCAGTCAAACAGCATTGGATCACAATCACTGAGTGACTGAGGGACAGTACCAGCTGCATATACCAGTTAAACCCTTGTTGGCCTGATATCAGCTCTCCTCACTCCCACTTTATCTTCCATGGCAGCCATCTTAGGTGTACCAAGCCATATCCAGGTACAAGACGACTCATCTGAATGAGACTATGTGTTGTATCTATTTAGATGCCGTGAGTGGAGACATGATGTCACCAGGTAAATATTTACTGAGGACAGCCGTCATCACCACACCAAAATAAAAAAAGGCACTGTTTTTTTTAAAAACACAAAACATTTCAGGATTCATTTCCATTGACTTTACAATGACTTTACCTGCTCAAATATATAGTTTAACTGCTTGTGCAGATGCTTTCCCACTTCTTACTGGCTGGAAGTCGTTAAAATCTTTGATCTTAAAGCTGCATGAATTGATTTTTTTTTTGGCAACTTGGGGGCAGCAGGACAAGCTGAAAACACAACAATGCCACATAATATAAGCTGTCATGGCTAATGTGTAATCAAACAGTTGTCACTTTACACATCCAGCAGACATAGAGCAACATTAGGACTGAGTCAAGTTTGAGATATATGGAAGTCCAATATTCACTTTCCTTTTAGCTCTGGTTTGGCCTCCACAAACTCCTAAGACTCTTTAGCTGCTAAACACTCCACAATGTTCAACTGCTAGTTGCTAACTTTGTCTTTCTGCTGTTCGCTGCTGGCCAGGTTGCAGACAGAGCTTCATAGAGCTGAGGGTAGCTGCAGTGTTGGGTAATAATTCTCTATGAGTGACTCCTTCCACATTGCACATAGTCATTTGATCAATTGTTGAAAAAAATATGTTGATTGGTACAGCTTTAAGTCTGGAGCTGATCTCCTAATGGCTGCAAAACCAAGGAGGAACTGTGTGAAAAATGAATTCTCCCTGTTTATACAACCAAGCCAGATTGTGGCTAAATTTGCAAAGGTAGGTTTTAAAAGCCAGGTTCAATATTTCCTTTTAAGCATATCTAAACAAAAAAAAAAGTAAATCCGATGTCTAATGAGAACTAAGTATTTCCACATTGTCTTGATCCCAACTTGTCCAAGATTTGAGCAGGCAATGCAAAAGAAGTCTAAGCTGAAAGTGACATGTACGGACATGGACATGACTCTACAGTGATCCCACCGTCCCACCAGTCTGTTCTGTTGCACACACACACTAAATTGCACAGCATCATTTGGCCTTTGTTATTACACAGAATTAAAGGAAAAGTATGTCATTGCTCAGCAAGAGAAACCCTGCGTAGAGGGTTTGTAGTTGGAACCACATTTGGAAAAAAAGGAGCGAGAAGAGAAATGAGGCACCTCAACAGTAACTCCAAATGTCTTCAACAGTAGATTGTCAAGTCTGGGGGGTTATAAGATATAGAATAATATATATTTTTGGAAACATCAATCTGTTCTCATCTGTGCAAAGAAACACGCAGGTCCATTTGTTCATTGTATACCCCTTCAAAGCATTGTCTTTGAAACTATAGGGGGTAATTGTTGTTAATAAGTAGCCCTTCTTTGCTGTTGAGTCAGGGATGAAGCTAATTTAAAGACAGAAGCTTTACCTCCTTTTAGAAACATGCAGCCTTGCTTTGATCTTACATGATATCTGAGGTGTGTGTTTGCGGTTAGCACAGCTGCCTTCCAAGCAGCTGACTGGCTGTTCAGTGACATCTGTTAAAATTAATGAATTGTCTCACCTGAACCTGGTTTGACACTGAAGTTCAAGCTGCAATTCTCATGAAAATATCTGTAACTGGAAATCTAGTTTGTTGACTTGAGCACCCAGTTGATCATAAATATTACTAATTAATGGATACTCAACTTTAGAATTTCATTTTGGTCAAGAGGGTCAATGCAGCTCAGTAAGGGAGACATTTTTTTTTATCATGTAGACAGATAATATAGATATGTATTATAAACAAATCTTACATTAGCATCTAGGTAAGTTTTGCTACCTTTTCTGCTCATTAAATTCATGCATATTTTCAATTCATTTTTTCCTTTTTGTCAACATACTTCACATTTTTACACATTCACAAGTCTGAAAACTGGAATTAAAGATTCAGAACTTTTACTTAAAGGTCCCATATAGTATAAAGGTAGATGTCAATGTGTTTGATTTTATCAAGCAGGTTTAGGTTCTATATCAACACTGTGAAAGTACCAAAGTGCTCAGTCCACAGAGAAATGCACACAACCTGAAATCTTCGTTAGATCGCTCAGAAAACAGTCTCAGAGCCTCCTCTCTTCTGATTGGCTCACTGACCTGTTGTTACTAGAGCTCCAGAGAGAAGCCTGAGAGAGGAGATGTAAAACTACACTGAGATGGTTTTTGGATGGATAAACACTTCAAATAAAACACAGGAAAGAAAAAATATGGGACATTTAAGTTCACTTAGCGTGCTCAATGTTTAACAAGATATGTTTAAACAAGTCGCTAGGAGTGACAAAATGGGCCATATGTCTGCAATCTAGAACTCAAGCTTCAGATACAGATCATTTTTATTCAAGTGCACTCATCATGTCACAATATTAAGTGTGATCACGCAAAGAATGAAATGTCAATGTCAATGTCTAATAAAATGTCAAAAATAAGAGAAGCTCATCGTAAGAGCCCAAAGTGATTAAAAATGCTCATATATTCCAGAGAAAAGCAGCAAATCCTCTAATTTTAGAAGCTGGAACCATCAAATGTTTAGCAATTCTATTAGCCATGTTAGCTGTGTGACTTCACAGATATCACTTTTTTTTTATTTTGAGTGAGATGTCTCAACAGCTATAGGTTGGATTCCAATGTTACTGTTCTTTATCTAGTTTGATTTATCGCCTAATACCTGCTGACGTTAGCATTTACAGAAGCTCAAAGCGCTGCTGTGGCTAAATGGATGATCACTCGTTTTTTTGATATGTGACTCAGATGATTAATCAATTACCATTTTGGCTCTGGCTCCAAGTTGAGAAACTGATGATGTAAACATTCTGTCGTTAAACTGGCTCCATAGCCCTGAAGGCTGTCTATATGGTTTTACATCCAATATTTACGTGTAGTTACATATAAGTAATTTTAGCCTATAAAATATATCAATATCAGATATTTGTGTATGAGTTGGGGTAGATTTATGTTACACTTGCTCACACTGTAGGGGACATCTCATGTGATCCTAACCATCCATAGAGGTATTCATATTGTGACTTGGCCAAAGGAAGGAAAGGCTCGCCGCATCACTGAACGCAGCGAAGAAAAAAAGAAAATCCACCATGCAAGTACTCTGATGAAGATATATCAGTGGTCCAGTTTGTGGTGTAAGACCAAGCTTACATGCACAGAGTGAGTATTCAGTACATAGGATGGAGGAGAGGTGTTATTCAATGAAGATGTCTTCGGTGGGATAGGAGTAGCCAATGTTCTCCTTGTAATACTGCTGGAAGGCCCTCCTGTGGGACAGAGAGGACAATTAGAAAATAAAATTAGTTGTATTATCATCTATCACACTCTGGTCTGAATGGAGCTCAACTCTGTGCATCAACAACAGACGAACGTAAAGGATGATGTAAGGCGTGCACTGGCCACACTGACATGAAATATTTATTGTCCTCAGAGGTGTTGAAAGATGAATTCAGATCTATTAAAAGTAGCAGTTGCCCTGTACATTACAATTTCTGCAATTCAAGTAAAAGTGTGTAAGTATTATCAACAAAATGCACTTTCAGAGAGAGACTTTCCAGACTTCCTGGATCATATTTCACTGTCTGGTCTTCTGTGTTTTATTGTTGGTTCAGGAGGAGAAAATAGAACCTTCAGGTATTTACATGAATTTGTTTTTGAAGCATATAAATGTATTATTTTAGTTTCTGTGACTTTATATTCATTCCTAGAGCATTATCATTATTATTACTATTATTATCATTGTTATGTTGCTACTCTTTCCCCTGTGGCTGATTGTTAATTGATCTAATTGATTATTGGCTGCTGCTGGTGTCCGTGTTCTATCTCTACTAGTGTCTATTCGGGTCGACCGCATTTTGGATCAGGTTCAATTGTCCTCAGGTCTGTTGTGGTCTAGTCTGAAAGGGCTAGGCCTCCCTCAGATCAGGTCTCCCTTTTTTGAAAATTCATTTATGTAAATCAGGTTTCCATGGGTCCATTTGAGACTTCTAGTCTGAATCCCTGTTGATGCAGATATTGCCACTAAAATGAAGGAGTATGTTCATGAACCAGATATATGTTCCTGAGATCTCTATCCAAATACAGTGGACATGACAGGAAGCTTGTCTGAAGATCTCAGAGCAAAGAAGAGTGACATAATGAATCAACACTGTCATGTCCTCTTACTCTGGATGATCCACAGAGCAAAGTGTCCACATGTTTTCACTAGAACTACTCTCTACTGAAGAAACAGCCCCTGTTATAACTACGACATGTAACAGACACCACCAGGGGCAAGTCAGACAATATGTAAGAAATATCAAATGTAATAAAAATACAGAATAGAAGGGGTCTTACCCTACAGACTCGGCCAGAGGATGTAATGTTGTGTCTGACATCATCACGTGACAGGCGAAGCGCTGTTGGTCAGGGTGTTTTGTGATGAAACCAAAATACCTGCAACACAATAATCACCATTACTGAGAGGTTCACTGAGACATACCTGCTGCAGCAGACAAAGCACTGAGCTTAGACTTGTGAGAGTTACATCACTGTCATGTACATTTAACCACCACTTAAACTGGCTGTGATTAAAGGTACAATTTAATATAGTTTAATACATTTCTCATGCAAGTGTGGGAAGTGATTAAATCAAATAATCCTTAAAGGAGTTCAAGAGTTCAACTCACTTGCTGTGTTTTGGATGACAACCACAGAATGAAATGTTCTTCAACTGGAAAAAGTGGAAACATTGCTCCCCCTGAGAAAGAAACGTAAAGTTCCAATGGTTAAATTCTGTCCGGGTGTGTGAAGCTGCAATGTGGAGCTAAACCTGAATAACTCCCGGACTACTGATCCAGATGGAGCGTGAGTGACATCACTATTGCTATTGTGAGTAGCTTGTAGTTACTGCTCATTCCCACTGGGAAGCGCTATACACCAGACTACAACAAAGTGTCCTGTTTACAGCACCGTAATAACCTGCTGCACATTTTCCACAAGCTGGGTTTGTAAAGGTGTGACAGGAAGGAAGGAAGGACGGAAGGAAGGAAGGAAGGCAAGAAGGAGGATGCAGGCACAAAAGGAGGAAGAAAGGAAGGAAAGCAGGAGGGAAGGAACGAACGAAAGAGGGGAGGAAAGAAGGAAGGCAGGAGGGCAGAAAGGCAGGCAGGTAGCTGTGTAGGCACATTAGTGTACGTACCCTGTGAGCAGAGTGACACTGGTCCTGGACATTGATCTTCACTCCCTTCACACTGACCTCCAACACACAAGCTGAGGGAGGAGGACCCGCTAACCTCCTGTTACACGCCACCTGTTAACACAGTCAATACAAAGACATGTTAGACCGGTCTGTGGCGTCAGGCGAGTCTTAGGGTCACATCTAGTTCGGCCATGACGGAAATCAAAAGCGTGTTAACGTTTGTTCTGAGCAGCCAAACTTGCAGGTGGAATGGGAAGCTGAGGGGGGGGGGGATTTAATATTGTTTAAATATGAAGATAACTGCATATATTTTCAGACAGTCTCTCCTGGAAGACATTCATGGAGTCACACATAAGTGGCACACAAAGTGCCAGGAATAGTTGTGACAAATTTCAGACTCTAGCTCCTTTCTCACCCCTGCACAGCTGATCAGTCACAGTGTGAAGTGGATGTGAAGGTCAGATTGTCCCCCTTAATGCGATGTTGGAAAGGTGTGTGTGTGTGTGTGTGTGTGTGTGTGTGTGTGTGTGGGGGGGGTCTAACCATCTGACAAAAAGTTCTAAAGAAGCATACTGGCTCCTTAAATTTTGCTCTTCTATTACTCCAACGCAAGTTAGACAGTCTCGTAAAAAAGGACTTATTTTAGGCCGAAAACTAAGTCACTCTACCCCCAGGCTAACTAATTAAGAGACATATTTTCAACAATAAGTGTCACCTGCTGACCAGTGGTATCCAATGACTAAATGAATAAATAAATAAATAAATAAAAATCTTGTCTCAAAATTTGTGCCTTGTATCAATGTTGTGGAATGATTAGGGAAACCATGTTTAGAGACTGCAGTAATAATATAAATAAAGGGATAATAATAAATATAATAATATATAATATAATAATATATTGAAATATGCAGCAATGAGGGGATCGCCCTGTGTTTACTATCCTGAGTCTGACAGGTGAGTTCGCAGAAATACTGAGCCCTGTCACATTAAAAAGCCCCAGCATCTCAGCTCAGCTACTGTATAGCTACTGGAAGTTCTCTTTGTTGTTTTTTCACTCTTTACAGAACTTCCCCGGTAAAATAAAATTGTAACTGTGAATTCTTTCAGAAAACATCAGAAGAGTATTTTTCTGCTGAGGTGGGTTCATGCTGTTACTTGGCCAGCCATGGTTTATATTAATTTTTTTTTTTTTTTTTTAATTTACTCCTAAAGTCATGGTGAATTAGTCATGCTTACAGAAGTTAAAAGTTAGACAGCTTAGGTCGAATGAATCAACTCTTAGTTTAGTTTTTAATTAAGCCATAGTCAGTCTGTCTTTGAGAAACTGGCACCTGTATCGTCTGTCAGTTGCTTCGGTCCTTATCAGTGGATCTCAGATAATGAGTGCAGATACTTAACCACACTATTGTTGTTTTCTGTAGATATCATTATTGCCCGTTTCTTATCTACTGTTTTATTTTGCATTAATCAAACCTTATAATTGAGAAAGTGATCTAGTGACTGTTTTTTCTACATCTAATCTTGCATGTTTACATCCTTAATATCGATACCATACACCTGAAGTTTGCAGTTATTGTACGTTGCAGGTTTAGCAACTGCAAGAGGTTAATTATTCACTTCGCAGTAAGTCAGCAGAATATGCAATCCTTGTTTTGTGTGTATTTTGTGCATGTACAATTCTCTAATTTCCCCATAGGGATCAATAGTATTATGCTACTTCACACGCCTGCTGCGGAGTAAACAGTAAGATGTAAAACATGAGGTGAAAGGAGAAAACGTGTCTCTTTACAAACTGAAGCTAAAGTAGCTGTGTGCTGTAACAGTCTTAAGAAGGATTTGGACCCAGTGAAGGATTTTGAGGAAACACAATGATTACAGCTGCAACAGGCTCAGCTCTGCACTTACATAACACACTAGATTTGAGACGGATAAAGGGACAACGCACTCAAATCTTAGACGGTTTATTTGTCTTGGTTCTGAGGTTCCACACTGAAAAATGTTTATTTGGTTCATTGTGGTTACTCATGAAAACCCACAGACCTCACTGTGAACAGTTTCCTTGACACCACGAGAGAAGAAAACACATATTGTCTTGTTATTAGGCTGAACTGAAACACAGAGCTATTCCTGTCTGGATCAGCCGGGCTGATAGAGATCATCTGGGCATAAAACCAGACTCATTGCTCTGGCAGCGTAAACATAACCTGAGGCCAGTCGACATGTGTGAGTGGTACACCTCGCATGAACTTGCCAGTTAAAAGATTCATGTTTTCAGGCTGAGGGAGATTTTTAGCCTCGTAAGGTTTCAAAGAGTAAATAGTCATTCAGTAATGTGTTAGAAATGATAACCCTGAGTCTTAAAATTTTCTCCCATTTTCACTTGTTTTTTAGACAAATCTGTTTTCATTGAGAGAAAAGACAAGAAAAGAAAGAGAAAAGAGAAAAGAAATTTAAACAGTTTACACTTGAGTCTTATATTGGCAGTTCCCTCTTTTTCTTTAAAAGTGAAAATACAAATAACCAGAGAGATAAACGAGCAATAATAAAGAGGAAAGAATAACCATTATCAACACATGAAAGAGTAACCCAGGAATGTGCCCACCCCTCCTGATCTGGACAGCAGTAGCTGCTGAACTATCATCACGCTACAGCTTAGGGCAGGGTTGCAAATTGATGTTGTGGACATTTGAAAGTGTTTTGAAACCTGTCACCCAAGAACTAAGAGTAGACTGAGCTGCCTTAATGAGAAGGCTAAAACATTGTGTGCAGTAAGTGGCAAGATTGGGTCTCTAACTCACACACTCACACAACTACAGAGAAGAACGCAGATTGAGAAATTGCCTACAATCACCTTAAAAAGTTAATGTCTAATATGTCCTGATGGATGTAAGTTCAATATTCACTCTACTTTTTGCTCAGTTTTGAACTCTACCAACTCCTGAGAAAAATATCTGTCTCCTTAGTCTGTTACAGTAAATGTTCTAGTAGTTGCTATTAAAAAAAAGTTAGCGTCTAGCTGTCTGCTGCTGCTGGAAATGAGGTTGGTGAGAGCACTGATGATGAAACAGTGAAAGTGCAATAAAACCAAATCAAGGAGCTAAAAGCAGCTGCAATGCTCTTTAGAGCTGTGGAGTTGGGCGCTCAACCATAGACTTTAAATAAAGATGGACGTAGCCTCCCTGACGCCCACCACAGGTTTCAGAAGAGCGGTTTTGAAGCTCAGGGTGAGCTGCTCCACCTGACTCCACCTACTCCTGACTAATCCAAAAATGGGCAAAGAGGTGGGGCATGTGTGGAAATGAGACTCTGGTGCATTCCGGTTTGTGGTAAGCATACGCTCACCGACCTGTCACTCAAAGAGGCCAGGCTCTGTACCAGGCCTTTGCACCAGGCTGTAAACGTGTTCATTTTTTGCTACAAAGTTTTATTTAGTTTTTTAAGATGATAGTCTATGGGGATTGACTCACTTTTGGAGCCAGCCTCAAGTGGCCATTCAAAGAAGTGCAGTTTTTTTAGCACTTCGGTGTTGGCTTCATTTTTCAGCCCTGGAGGTTGCTGCTTGGCACTACCTCTGTGAGTTTGTCACCATGAGCAACCAATTTTGTTAATTCCATGAATTATATGTAATTTGTTTTATTATTTATAAAAAAAATTTAATTAGTGATGCTTTAAGAGGCAAAAGTATTCAATATTATACTATTAAATATTAAAATGATCTTTTAAAAAAACATGAATATTTGCTACAATTAGCAACTAATAAGCAGCTGTAGGTTGTTGTCTTTGTTTTCCTACTGATAATCAGCTGCCATGGTGCGGTCCTGTTGTACAGTGTCTGTGGTTATGTACCTTCTGCATCGCAGCACACAGCACGTCGTTGCCTTTGTGGATGGGGACCTGCACTGAACCCAGGAATCGCACCAGGAACTGCTCTATCCACCCGTCTTTCTGGACTGCGAGAAGGAAGGAGAGCCAGGAAACATGTTGAATTATTAATGTTGTTGTTGATGATGGTGATGCTCTGCTTTTACAGTCCAGTTCTTTGCAGTGTACCTGGGTTAATATCTTTGGCCACCTTGAGAGCGTAGAAGGCCGGAAAAATGCCAGTAGCTCCGGTCCTCATGTTGTAACCCTGACACCACAAGTCCTCAGACTGGTTCAGCATTAACACCGGGTCATCTGTCTCTAGGTAAAGCTCATCTGCATGACGAGGGACAAACCTAAAATGAGGCGTAAAAAAACGATCAGATTTTAACCTAATGGGTAGATTTGGACATGTGACAATTTGCTTGTGTTTGTTCATGTGTGTTAACCTGTAGACAGCTCTGTGGCTCTGCTGTCTCTCCACTCCATCCAAAACACAGGAGAACACACCGAATGACCCAGCCCCTGAAGGGTACAGCACTGATGTTACACACACAATCAACAGCTTACGCTTTGAATTATGTGACATATTCATTCTTTAATGGGAAAAAACACATGGGATTTATTTCAATATAAAAATATAACTGCATTATTATCCAAAATCATCTTTAGCGTTACAGTAAGCAGGAAGGCTCAAATGACCAACACCATGAGAAAGCTTAGAGACTGTGTGTGTTGAATTTGGAAACTTTAGAATTTGGCGACCTCTGGTGGTAGTACAAAACAAGACCCTGATGTAGACAGCTACTGCCACCCCTTCAGCTAGGGCACCCTGACAATGAATGGGCTTAAAGCAACACATAGACTTCATCAATTATTATTTATTTATTCATTTTAAACCATGATTGCCTAATCTTTTTACCAAACAAGAATTTATGCCATCTGAATAATCTGAAAGAATTTATAATCACTTTAGTGTTACTAAGGGCTACTAGATATAGCCTGGTGCCAGACCTCTGATCTCACATGTCTTTGCTGATTCAAAAAGGTCTAGTGTCATTATCATTACTTGATAAGAATTGGTTAAAGCAAAACAAATAAGAAACACACTGGTAATTCAGTTTTATTATCTCTATTTGTCTTTTGCAGAAGTGAACTGCGATGCTGACAGACAGGAAGAAACTTTAACTATTTAGCTCTACTGCGACGTGTCACAGGCGCCTGATTATTCATTTATGTGGAGACAAAATGACTTTTGCTCTAAACTAAATATTTGGAGATTATACAAACCAGTGGCGCTGTAGTGGCTGCTGCTGTTGTTGGCAAACAGGTTGAGGAACTTCCTGCTTCTGAGAGCTCCAGGTCTTCCTCCGTGAGAATCCTCTTCCTCTGAGGTTGTGGCTGACGTAACCTTGGACTGCTTAGAGATCCTTGCTACAACTTCCCTCCTTCTCTTCATGTCCTCTTCCCGCCTCCTCTTCACATCCTCTTCCCACCTCTTCTTCTTCTCCTCCTCTTCCTTTCGTCTCTTTTCCTCCTCTTTCCTTCCTTCTTGGAGCAGAAAACAAAGAAAGATTAAACTGATACCAGAAATGAAGGAACAGTGCAAAAAGATAGCACAAGTTTGATTTCTACATCGGTCAGTCTTCTCTCCTAAAGCTACACCTGCGCCATCATCCAGTACTAAATGAATGTGTTATTCAGTGTTGTTCCACAAGGCTTAGTTGTGGGTCCTCTACTATTTTCTCTTTTTATGCTCTGACTGGTTAACATGATACAGAGACATGACATCTATTTCTGTTGATGAGCAGGTGACACACAGTTCTACATACAAACCACAAAACTCTTAAGATCACTTGAACACTAGTATTGAAGACCTTCTTCTTTGTGCAAATGAAAGATTAGATACTTGACTTTTAAATTAAATCTACATTTACAAATCTCAAAATGTGTGATGAAATAAATGAAAGCACCAGCTGAGCTAGCCGGCTAGCTTTCTTCATCTACTTGTATGTACAGTGCCTGTGTTGGGGAGTAACTGGTTAAATTCAAGTATTACATAATTAAATTACAACATAAATGTAATTGTAATCTTCAGTTACTGAGACAAAATTGTAATTAAATTACAGTTACTAATCATAATGTCGGTGATTACAAAGGTGTTACATCTGAATATATTCTTTTTGGTAAAAACCTGATATGTAGAATATAACATTCATTCTGTTGCTTTGCATCTTTTGGTCGAGCAGGAACGCCTTCTTTTAGTTGATCTGTGGACAACAAGGGTCAGATAGGTGATAGCTGTGAGATCTAATAATGCTCACTAATTTAATTCAGCATTGTGTTTTCATTAAATATCAATTTGGAGAGGTCATTAGGTTGTGAAACTACTACACAGCACCAACAGACTAACTTAATGGTACTGAGAAATAATCAAAAAGTTATCAAATGTAATAGGTTACAATACTGAAGTAATTAAAACACTTACAGTACTTATTACATTTTTAACTATTACTATTTTAATTGTTGTATGTAAATACGTTGAAAACCAGTGGAAATCAGAGTCAAATCTCTTGTGTTTCCAAACATACTACAAGCTTCCTTAAAAACAGAGAATTGATTTAAAATACTCAATACTCCAGTAAAATATGTAGTAAGCTGTTGTTCATCAATGGAAAATGTCCTTTTTGTCTTTTGCTCCTTTCAATTACGTCAACTTGATCTGAAGGGAGCACTTATATTTGAAGATATTTACTGCAAACTTTAATTCTCTTTTGAAATTATTATAGGTGATACATGACATTTGTATGATTCATAGGACATTAAATATGTCACTATATTAGTGTGTGGGTCATTGAGAAACCAGCTGTAGTAGTGATGAACCGCCTCACTTACTGTATCTGATAGTGCTTAAAGCTGAGTACATCAGAGTGGGCTCACACACCATAGTTTCAAATTCCAGCTACATTTGTTCATGCAAAGGAATATTTAGGACATTCCTTCATTAGATCCACAAACTGAAAACTCAATCTGTTTTCCTCTAAGAAAGATGAAAGACATGCTTCTCTTATGTAGATAAAAATGAGAGCAAGTTTAATTTTGTTGCCATGGGAACATTGCCTGTATTTCATATTCATATGGGTCCTTCCAAGTTTTTATGCTATTACTGTTGTCTACCATGAGACGTTAAGGTTTAGCTCTCATTTTAAAGGGACACTTCCACTGCTGAGTATTAGAATAAAACCAGGTAATGCTGTTTTAAAGGCCCTGAAAACATATTTTCTCTGTTTGCTTCTTGTTATGACGACACAAACATATATGAACAGTTTTGGTTTTTACAGATGATTTTCTGTCAGTCACTAAGTCTGTCGGTCTGCTCAGCTCCTGGATTCAGGGTAAGACGTTTCACCAACTACCAGGAAGATTCCCATTAAATCCAACCTGGATATGCAGCGACCTTAGAAATAATTGTGGTATCCCCATGACCTTTCCTCTAGCTCCACTATAATTAATTATTAATATTACATATTATTACATGATTAAGTAATTTCCAATTTGCCACAAAATTATAAAATCCTAACAGCACATTGCCATAAACTAACTGAATATATTCGTGCTTCCTAAAGGATGAACTAATCACAACATGTCTTACAAGCTAACAGACAGATTACCATGAGAATATTCATGCTCCAACAGGTATAAGACCTTTAATCTAGTGAACCTTCCCCATGAACGTTCCTCTTGAGCCATCCCTGGGACAAAGTTTGCATTTTTAGCCAGACTACTGGCAGGTTTTTAAACGTTACATAGCAAAAAAAGTGACTTGTATCTTGCTTGAAAACTTTAAGCACCTGTTGTGACAGACGTATGCTCAGGTATGTTCAAAATGAAACTTTATTGTCACCTTGCTTCCTTGTCTCCTCTTTCCTCTTCCTCTCCTCCTCATACTCTGGGTCTTCCTCCTCATTGGCTGACTGATAGACGGTCTCTCCATCGCTGTCGTCATTGTGCTCACTGTAACCATGCAAGCAGTCCTTGAGGCTGACCAGCTCCAACTGAGCGTGTTCATCGACCACCAGAGTGTATTTAACAGAGTCATAATTCAACCCTGCTGTAGCTTCACTCTTTGGTACAGTCCAAGCAGCCACACAATCTCCCTGAGTGACGGAGTTGGTGCCTTTCACCTCAGTGTTACTGTCACCTTTGCCTCCCCCTGCGTCCACCTCTGACTTGGTAAAGTCCATCTTTGTTTTCTCATCACCTGCGAGGCAGCGGGTCGGACCATTCTGAACGTTCACGCAGGGGGTGGGGTCTCCCTCCCCCTCCTCCTCACTGATGTCAGGGTTGGTTCGGTTGGATAAAGAGGGATGCAGAGGCCCCGGTGGCGGGCCCTCTGTGTCTGAGCTGAGGGACATTCTGTTTGACCCCCCCTCGCTGCTGGACCGGGAGAGAGCAGGGGGGTTATCCTGGCTCCTGTCATGGCTTTGGCCTGAGAACACAAAACATGGATAGTGAGTAGATATTAGCTTGTTAACATAACATGTGAACAAATGTATTTATGAACGACTTCACATATGTTACACATAATTACTAGCTATGAATAGAGTTATGTAACACATAACCAGTACTACTTACCAGAATACAAAAAGAAATTTCACAGCACTACTCTGGTTCTTTAATTTGCCCTTGAGCAAGGCACTTACTGATGTATAAAGAAGCATTTTCTGGTCAGTCTCCACTGTCTTAAATTAATGCTTTTAATCTGGTAAGAGGAAACAGACTCCACTCATCAGACACAGCATAGAATTTATGCTTCATTTCTTCCCCCACCACCCTTTTACACCAAGAAGGTCATAAACAGGCGTGTACTGTATAAGGCTCTTCTCTTCTATTTCATCTTTCTCTCTAAACAACAAATTACAGTCGGATTAAGTTTCCAACAAACATATCTCAGACATTTGAGACACTACAAGGTCCTGTAACCTTCACAACTAGACAGTTTGAGTCTTCTCTAAAGTCAGAGGTTGTAGTGAGTTATACACCAGATGATTTAACAGTAATTCAGCAACTTTGCATTTATAATATTTCAATCATTTCTACAACACTTACCCCCCAAGGTAGGCTCAGGCGATATTCGATAATATCGAACATGGCATTATTTCACACCATAAGATATATTCTTCATAATATTTTTTTTTTGTTGCAGTTTTGCACAGTTTGCTTTGCTGCTGAGTCTGACCCTCATTTCACTGCTTTGCTTACTGTACATTGTGCCGTGGCATGTGACAAATAAAACTTTGCTGTTAAGTGGCAACATTGTTTATACCTGAAACATAAAATACAATAATTTAATTGTGTATTATAAAAAGCACCTGAAACATAAAATAATATAATTATGTATTATGATTTTTAAAAAAAACAACTGAAACATAATATTGTGTACATAGTAAAATTTGGGCAGGCAGTATTGATATATTACATTTTGCATATTGTACCAGTCTACCCTGAGGTTCAGGTACAGGTGTTCAATGGCCAGTTGTAATGGACTGTGGTTGTAAAAACTTTTTCCAGGCCAGTGTGGATATATGTGGCCAATGTGACCATCATATATTCAAAGCTGCAGTATTTTCTCTATATGAACATGTGTAATAATAAAGGGATCTTTAGTTGGGCCAAACCCAGAGAGGATTTTCACCCACTCTGCAATTCTCCTCAGCTCTACAAAGCTTTTCGGGCAGTTCTGGATCATTGGTTCTGGTCATCAACCTGAGACCAGCTTGTGAAGATAGTGGAGCGTTTAGCAGCTAAAGAACCAGACATTTTTCTCAGGAGTTGGTGAAGACAAAAAGTGTATATTCAATTTTACATTCATCAGGTGAACACAAACCCAAATCCCAGTAAACGCCAATGTTGTTCTGTGTCTGCTGGATGTGTAAATAGGCAAGTGTTTGCTAAAATTCATTCCCAATAACAGCTTTAAGGGCAATCACACGACAATGTTGAGTTTTTGGCTCGTTCTGCTGCATCCTGAGCTGCCCAAAACTCCAGCTTTAAAACTGAATAGCAGATTATCAAGAAGTGTGTGAGGATTTTACAAATACAGTTACTTTACACATTCATACTCCCAAAGGTTGAAGGTGATTTTGGTGACCCCATGACATTTTCATTCCCACACAGTTTAGCATACCATACGTAACTATCTCTTATAGGTGCTTCCCTGAGTATTTTTGCGCTGCTACAATCCATATGTCTACAGCTACACTTAATCAAACGTATACAGACAGTGTTTCTGCAGTTCTTTCACCATAAGACACTAAACCAAATGTCTCTTTTCTTCTTAGTTAATGAGTTTCATAGTTTGCTGATCATTTCTGAAAAGGGAGAGGAAACAGGGAAAATGAAGACAGGATTTCACTGGTACACTTCCAGTTTGTTAAGTTTGTTTCAGTGAATTGCTGGTGTAATGTAGCGTGTTTTAGTCGGTGCACGACAGGTCAGCTAAACGTGCAAATATTAAAAGTAAAATTTCAATTCAATAAATATGGAAAATAAAGTTTCCAAATACAAGAGAATATTTGGGTGAGTTTTGTGTCTTTCACAGTTATTACAATAAATTCCTCAGATAATCAACAACTGTATCATTTCGCTGTTCTGCATTAAAAATACATATAAAACAGTTGTTACTTAGAACACAATAAATATTAAAGACCACCCTGCTCTCATCAGACCACCCGTTGACAGTACCCGACACCCAGGGGTCTAGAGGTGGGTTCATTACCTTGGTCTTGGGTCTTGTCCTGGGTTCTTGGAGCTACAGGTGTGCGTGGAACCACCATGGCTGTCAGATAAACTTCCTGGTTCATCAGTACGTTATTTGGCTTGACTCCCCCTCCTCTGTTACCCGCTTTAGCAACTACTTTTCCTTTCCCATCAGCCCCCCGGCTTTTCGGTCCATTTGTTTCTCTTGGCCTCTGATGTACATTCCGCTCCTTCTCCTTCGCCTTGGACTCCGCACACAGTCTTCCTCCTCTTCTCTCCTCCTTCCCTGCCGTCACTCCATCCTTTCCTCTGATGTCCCCCAGGCTCCTATCTTTCATCGCTGTCGCTCCTCTTCCTCCCCCTCTCCCTCCTCCTCCCCCTCCTCCTCCTCTCCGCTGACTCCTCGGGGCGCTGGAGGACTGTGTGTGCGTGGCCCCGGACGCCTGTCTCTCCCGCAGTCGAGCGCGTGTGTCTGCGGCGGTGGCAGCGGCCTGGCTGTTGGACCTGCTGTGGGCTCCATTGGCTGTAGGGGGTTTGGGGGCTGGGCGGTGCGTGCTGTGCCGGACTTTGTCCTCCGCTTTTGGTTGGACATCCACTGGTGTTAGATCCCCTTAATACACACACGCAAACAAACAAAAGTATCAGATTATGTGTTAGGCAACCAGATGTATACAGAGGGATTAACAAAGTAGCCCACAGTAAGCACTTTAGACTGGATAAGAGGCACAGGGACACTCATTCAAAGAGTTCTAGAATATTTTGCTGTTATTTTTCAGGTTTTGTTTTTGTCTCTTGTGCTGTGATGCTTTTTCCTGCCCCACAAATGTGCATCTAACTATGTTTGCCTGTGATGATCAACCATTCATGAAGTCCTGAACACACTGGAGCACTAGAAATTTCACAAAGCATCCAACCTAAAATTATTTAAAAGCCAAATGTGTTGTAAATGGCTACATCAGTAAGTTGAACTTACAACAGAGAGATTACAAAGGCAAGGGTCCCCTGTGAGGGAATTTTGTCTTGTCCACCTAATGAATGACTGACTCAGGGTGAGAGGTCAGTGTGAGGCCCTAGGTCTCTGTGCCACAGCTACTGCATTAAATCTTACAGGCCTTGAGACGCTCAGGCGGCTCCTGCAGACGCAGCTGTGGTTTGTCCAGATACTGCTGGTGCCCGGGCTGATAACAACAGACCTTGGATGGTAACAAGTGGCTGGGTGTTCTAAGAATCAGCACTTGGGCATATATAGTCATGTTTCCTTGTTTATGGTTAATGAACCAATAGCGTAGCAACACATCTGTCTTCTCCGTCTTCTTTGAAATATTTGACCAATTATGGAGTGTAAGCTATCTATAGTATTCTCTCTAAGTGTATAAAGACTATCCTCAGGGGTTCCTGCTTCAGATTTGAGGTGACATCATGCACAGAAGCCTGTATTGATGAAACCTCCTTCTCCTTGGACTCAAGCTTCAATAGACATCCTGGACTCCAGAGCTCTTTCTTCACCACCCATGATAAGAATTTCCCTAACATCCCCATCGAAGCAGCAGAGGCAGTGATCTCTTGATTCTCTAGAATAGGTAAAACACCAAAGACACTGTGTCCCAGATTTCCCATAATGCAAGTTGATAGTGTTTCGTCCTTACACTGTGTAACTCTGGTAAGTGCCTGCATCAAAGCCCAAGATTGATCAAATAACTGGTGATGACGTCATTGGAGGGTAAGACATTATCCAAAATTCTTTACAGACGGAGTAGTTCCCCCCCGATCAATGAAGTGAGCTATACTGCAGGTGGAAAGGTGGTGGAATGCCCCTTTAAAAAATTCTATTAAATTTTATTGAGTCCAAACTAGATACTGTTAGCAAAAAGTACAGCGCATGTGACGGACACGACTTTTCAGTCCATTGTTGGAATCTTTTTGAGGACACTATTAGAGCACATAGACTTTACAGTCTGAATAAAATGGTGGAGGGTAAACACAGTAAGTGATTTTCAGACGCAGCTCAGATATTTAGATTTTTCAAACACAAGTGTAACTAATGACTTAAGAGATGACAAAAGAGTTGCGGGGACAGAGCCATTGTTAATCTGCTTAGAACAACCTGTGTTTGTGAAATGTCTCCTCATCTATTTGACGATGAGGACCAAGATTCAGGTTAGCAAGATTTATTTTGACAGCAAAAGTGACAAAAAAATAGCAAAAATGAAAAGCACAAGATAAATGACAATTTTTTTTTTTTTTATGCTTAGGCTCAAACCTGTTCATCCATTGTTTTTGTGCATAAAAATTGCCAGTTTGTGAAAAGAGACATGTAGTTCATGTGTTATCGGTCATGTTATTTTAATAAAATTTAGTTTGGCTCCTTTTCTTGCCTGTTTCTTTATTATTGTAGCAGCTGACGAACATGCAATCAATTAACATGACACAGGAAAGTCTGGTAATCACTGGATTAGATCATCATTATGCGTCTGGTGGTGTTTATTACCTGTATGAATAAATCAATAATAATGCATCTTGAACTGAACTGTACTGACTACAGTATATTGAATCACTGTAGTTACTGACTGAATCAGCAGCTGTTAGCAGTTAGCAGGGCCGTGCTCGAGTCAGAGCATTGTCAGCTCAGTGAGATTCACAGTACATTCTGTCCTCATCAAGTCAATAAAAAAGACTGAATGCTGAGAAACCATCATCATCTGATCTCTCTGTCCTCAATAATAAACTGCTGAGCTGCGTTACGTTTCTATACAACATATTTGTTTTTCATCAAAATATCCAGTCTTGAAGTACAATATCTACATGTAATGATTCCAGCATCACTGAACTTTTTTATGGTTGTGCTGTTTAGATTGGCACAGCAGTTGGTTAAGGTCAGGGAAACATTGTGACTTCAGACATGTTTATTTACATTTATCCAAATGTAATCTTTCTCTTACATTTTGTGGTCCAAGCCTAACCACAGACGGGGCTCTCTCAACCAACCATTATGAATGTATTGCAAAACATGTTTGCTGCTGATGGTTAGATGTATAGAAATGTAATTTGTAGGTGACAGTGTTGGAATTGAACATGGCTGCATGAGACTACTGAAGACAGGGCCAGCGCAGAACACCATAGCTCTATGAATGGTAATGAGCTCACTTAGCTTTGGAACAAACTGAACACACTCCATTATCAGTGACTACAAATCTTTGAGCTGCATGAAACAATTCGAATCAGGGAAAATGATCATCTGTGAAGTCATAGAAAATGATATCCGGTAACAATAAAGATCACATGATCAAAAAATATCTGTAGAATAGAAAGATCCCATGTCCCAGGTGTGTGTGACCAGAATCCAGAACAAGCCTATATAACAGATTATGTTCATGTCTCATCAGGCTCACACTGCTCACATCTGTTTTACACAAATACCCAATCTGACTAAACTGTGTGAAACTGACGACACTTATCTGCAGAGGCACTGCAACAGACTGAGTCATGCACAAATCTCAGGACAGAAATGCACGGATCTGCTCTGCTGACGGATAGTCAGAAATATATTTCCAGAGCAAACAACTACAGCAACTCAAATGCTTTTCAAAACCTTTTTTTTGTTTCTGCAAAATCACTGAACAAACATTTACTAAATGTGAGACTGTGCTCAGAACTCTGCTGACTGACTCAGGCATCAGGAGAGTGCAGCTTTTCAAAGCTGAAATAAGTCTTAACTATTTGTGTACATTGATGTCTCAGAACAGACTGTGTAGACAAGATCCATCCAAGATGAAGTGCACAGACATCACAGTGAAGTCTTCTGCCAAGAAAGAAGAAAACTGACTTTCACGTAATTTGTTCCATTTATCTTGTTTATTTACACAGTATGACAGGTTTTCTTAAGATACTGCCATAATGAAATGTGTCAACACGACTGTCAGAAAAATATCTGAGTTGTTTTTTTCCTTTGGTTTCAAGTGAAAGTGATGAAATGAGGAGGCAAAATCACTGTTGTGCATAATGCCATTTAGAAGTTGTGCATCATTTTGCTGGTTGAAGGTAGTGACAGTTCATTTCTATTCAATTCAATTCACTTTAATTTGGTTCCAATACAGTTTATAACATCACAGTTCCATCAAAAAAGCCACAGAAGCACAACATGATAAATAAAGATATCAAATACTGTACACACATTACAATGGTTACATATAGGCACATTTATATAGAGAGATATATTTGTGAATAATGCTGTTGGCTTTGTCTGCTGTTGTTTAAAGGTCCATATAGTCTAAAGGTAGATGTCCATGTGTTGTTTGATTATAAAGCAGGTCTAGGTTCTATATTAATACTGTGAAAGTATTAAAGCGCTCCATTCAGAAACTGAGCTTTAAAACGAGTTATCAGGACTTCTGGAACTTTGTGATGTCACGACAAAGCAGTCCCCGCCCACAGCCCAGCACAGCCCTCACTCTGTCTCTGTGGCTGCTGGGACAGAGAGGCTGGTCTTCAATGCTGGTGGAGGTCTTGTATCATGTTTCATTCTTCTCAGACATCCCATGTTGCTGCTGCTTTCTCCATCACTTCTTGTAGCAGCTCTGGGTTTTGGGCAGAAACACAACACAAAATCATATTTCATCATAACTGCTTAAGAATTTTTCAGTAGACAGGGAGGTGATCATTCTGAAGTAAATTTCACAGTTTACCACAGGGAACATAGTGTTCTAAAATATCTTTCAACAAAGCTGTTGAGCGGGTCTGTGATATTTCTAGTTATGTTACTGGTTATCAAGTTCATTTTAGATCAATAGCTTTACTCACTCTTACTAATTAACAAACGTAAACTGAGAGTAAGGTCAAAGCAGTTATGATTACCTACAATGATAATAAAATAGGAATCACCATCAGTCAATTTTTACTGAATTATGTTATTGAATTAATGTTATTACAGCTAGTTATTATAGCTAACTAGGTATCAACTGGTTTACCTTCATCTGGCTCCTCGGGTCACTCGGCTCTCAGCGACAGGTCGGCGGTCAGTGAAGTTGAGGGGCCTATTCCGCACATTCTGACCCCCGACTCTAATGTCCAGACGCTGGTTACAAAATGTGTTACAGAAGCATAATGGCGGCTCCCACATTCGCATTTTGGCTTCACTGTTGCATCGTGGCAGGAAGCAACACAAAATCCTTCTTCATGTACAGTCAGTGATTTGCATTAATTGGCTGTGTTTTGTTTTTTTTGTTTTTGTTTTTTTTTCTTCTTTTGTTTTTTCCCGAAGCATTTAGTGTCCATACCTGTGATGTGTGGGGAAGAAGAGTGGGAGTCCTTCCAGCTGTCCTTCTTGCCCAAAGAGTTGTTGTTGATGGAGTCCTGCACAGAGTTAATAAGACAGAGCAGCAGTGTAAGAGCAAAAACCAACACATTATTGGATTATCACACACAGACACAGACACACACAGACACAGACACACACACACACACACACACACAGACACAGACACACACACACACACACACACACACACACATATAGACACACAGACACACACACACACAGTCTAGACTGATGTGTGAGACAGCTAACCCATAACATCTTGTCCTCTCACTGTGTGTCGCTCTGAGGATTATAGATTAATACTGATAAACACAGAGGAGTGAGACTCTGCTCTTCATCCAGGACACGTTGTCTCGGTAACTGAGATTCCCCCTCATTAATGGAGACTTTTCCATTGAAAAGTGGCCATAAAGATCTGAATCCTTTAAGAAACTGTAATACCTCATTTTGAAATACAATATAATCACTGCTGAATGCTCTACGTCTCCTCTTCACTGCAACAACTGCTGAAACACAACATCTTTCACACCTGCTTCAAAGTGTTTTCCACACAAAAGGTACTACAGGCCTTATATTCTCCTTTTTATGCCCCGCCCCGCCAAGTCAAAAAAAATTGGGTTGCTAAAATTGGCTTGGTCAAATCCAGACACTAAAAGTCTCTCTCTCTCTTTCTTTCTCTCTCGCTCTCTCTGATGACATCATTGCCAGGAAGAGGTAGGAGCAACGGACCAGGAAGTGTGCGATGGTCTCGCATCAACGTCATGGGAACCACGCAGAGCGCTGACTCACTTACTGACATCCCTCATGCATCTGCTCTCCCTTTCGCACACCACGTTCTGTTACTATGGTTACTCATTGTGTGTGTGTGTGAGTGTGTGAGTGTGTGAGGGAGAATCAAAAGCATCTCTCTCTCTGTGTAAAGCACACTCCGTCTCTCTGGTGACATCTCTCTCCAGTTGACATTTACACAAACAGACGTTTCAATGCACAGACAAAAATCTAATGGAGCCCTTTTTAATATTAAAACTTCTCATCTCAAATTAAAGATGGCGTCTCAGTGCCATCTGTCATTTTCTGTCTGATACCCAGAAGTAGCTGTGATACTGTCAGAATGCATTTGAGGGAGTTTGAAGGGAAAAGGCTGTCATCTTAGTTAATTACTCCCAGTTTGAGTATGGCATACACTGAGTTACCACCTTATTAGGTTCACCTTTGTGACATATTCATTTTCTGTGTCAGAGAGGTGGTGATTCAACTATGTGGTTCTTTTGAAGCGAGTGGTAGTGTTATGTTCATAATATGGGTGAGCAAATCATTAGAAACACCTGTCAATATAATGTCTACATAGAAATATAGATATATAGAATATATATATTCTAAATACATTCTGCTGTATAAATACAACAATTTTACATCAACATACAAATGCAACCCTGGTTCTCTTATTCTTGAGTAGTGACATCCTGAAGTCTCTGCTGGCAACCTCAACATGACTTTTTTTTCCCAACATGTATTAAGGCACATAACCCTCATAACTCTGCAATGCATCTTCCATACACGTTTTGCAGATTAAACAAAGAAGATATTACAAAGAGATTAAACAGAGCCAGGGTAGCTGTGTCCCTCTGTTTCTAGTCTTTATGCTAAGCTAAGCTAACCTACTGCTGGCTAGGGCTTCAAATTCATGAAGTTATTTATAAAGAATTCATGAACGCAGCATTAGGAGGAGGTCGTGGTTGGGTCAACATGTAATACACAGGAGACCAACAGGAGATCAGCAGTCAGCCCTGGTTTTCTTTTGATGGTGAAGGCAGTGTTTTCTTAGTTCTAACCACACCTGAACCACCAGTACATTTAAATGCATATAAAAAAATAGGTTAGTGGGAGACATCAGGTTATGCAGGAAATCTAACATGTTTACATGCACTGTACAAACATGGATAACTGTAATGTTGTATGTGTCTAAACTGAGCTGTTCATCAGTGGAAACAACCTTATCTGTACCTATAAGGGGCACTCAGACCCTAATTATTTTTGCATAATTTTGTATATGATCTCTCCATTGATCTCCCTGCACTGCTATCAGTGACACTTGACACTGAAATGTTGTGCAAATGTGTACAGGTAAAAAGATGCCTAGAAACCCAGTTACAAGTGTGTTAAAAAGTGGCACTAAGGGGCCCTGACCAAGTCCAACTGGCCAACTCAATGGCCATGAAAGACTGTATGTTCAGGTGTTTGTGTGTTCTCCTTGTCCTTATTTGTCCTTAGTTGATATGCCTCTGTGCCGGTGACAGCCCGGACCAGAGGAATTGTCCATCCCATTCTCAGGTCAGCTTCACTGTGACATCATAATGTTCTGCAAAAAAACGTCTGACCATTATTCAACACTGTAACTCAGGAAGTGGACATTGTTACACTCTGTTTATCCAGAGTCATAGAAAATATGAACCATTTGTGTGAAGTTTTGTCATAATTGCTGTGAAGTCTTGAGCGGACATTTGTGCAAAATTTGAAGAAGTTCCGTCAAGGCACTACTGAGATATTGTGTCCACGAGAACGGGACGGATTGACAGACAACCTGAAAACATTATGCTGGCTCTGGCTGTCGCGGCGTGGAGGCATTATTACAACATGAAGATGATGATAATTGTGTGATAAATGTGACACATGTATATGTTTTCATCACACCTGTGAACGCTCGTGTAAACTGAGTGAACCTGAAGAAGCCTCAGGCGAAACGTGCTGTTCGCTCTCAATACACAGTGAAGTCATCTCAGTGTACGGTGGTTAAATTTGATCTTCACTTTGGATTAACAGGAAACTCTTTGAACAAATGCAGCTTGATGCCCTCTCCCTGACACATGCTAATTTTAGAAGTTACAATTAGCTGATTTGCAGCTAAGAAGCTAATGACCACACACGCACACACACACACACACACACACACACACACATGCAGAGTAAGAGTCAGTGACAGGCAGGGCTTACAGTTACACACGTTAAGTGGTAGTGAGTGTTATCAGTCTAATCCAGCTCCTGTGGTGAGTCCAGCTGGCAAAGTAAGACAGGTTGGAGAGGACACAGTTCACAGCAGCCAATCACACTGCTGACTGAATGATTGAAAGGTGTGTGTTATGACGCATGTACTGAGGACACAGTCAATACTACACTGGTTGTCTATGAACAGTGAGTCCAATAACATTTCGATTGGGTTTCATAACTATGCAGAATATTTCATCCTGCCTAGAGGAAGATTATATTTTTGTTATTATTTATTTTATGTTTAAGTCCAGCACTATTGTTGATGGATTTTAAACATTTACATAAAGTACAATGACTACAACAGCTGAAGTGTTCCTGCCAAGACTAAGGAAAGGACAATATGTCTTACAAAGCTAAGCCAGAACGAAGAACAGTTGCCTCTCAGTGGGGATTGTATTGTTCAAGCTGTGGTAACATTACATCCTCTCCTCATGTTTACTACAGGCCTTTATGCTGCATCTTCCCCACATCATTGTTACTGCATCTACAATGTTCAGGCATTTATCCTGCACTGGTCCTTCCTGCAGGAGCCTTTTTGTGTCTGTTCTTTCTCTGAAAACGTGGCTTAAAAAATCAAAATAGATTCAAATGCAGGCCAGATTCAACCACATCTGCATTCTAAAGTATAACAGTCGACATTAGACACTATGTATGCGAAAGCTATTTTAAGTCAAGCCGATCTGTCACACATGATAAGGTGAGAAACCCTTTGAAGCAGCATATGGTGAATACCTACAGTAGAGCTCTATGTGCCTTTAATCCACTGAGACCAGGTCCCAGTTCTTTACAGTGCTGCTATATTAAAGTCAGCAGGAATCATCAGCACGCAGCTCATGGAGGGATTGAACCTCTTTTATCTGCCTGTCGGCACATCGTCTGTTCTCCGTCAGGTTACAGCGGATCATTGAGTGCTGAACGATACGTCAGATCACCACTGATAACTTCTACAGGAAGTCTTCAATTTCATATCTGGACTGTGAGGTTTTCAATGTTTAGCTTTAAATATATTTTCACCTGAACACACATAATGAAATCATCATGTCAGGTTCTCTTACAATATTCACATCACTAAGATTTACATGTAGATGTGTTTGGTCATTGATCACAGTATGCAACCTGCTCATAGGTGATTTGCCTATATTCCAGCTGTGGAATATAGTCTTTCTCAACAGTGTACGGCTTGTTTCACTTTATTTGTCTACATGTCTCTGACCTCATATCATAGTTTATTTAATTTTTGAGCTTTTAGCATCTTTTGATCAACACCATTTCCCACAAGGCCAAAACCTTGGTGGGTTAACATCACCACTGCACTAGAGGCCAGCTGAAAGACCACAGCTGGTTCAGACCAACCATCAACCTCCAGGCCTGAAAAATGAAGCCAACAAGTGCAACAACCTGCAGTTCTTTTAATGACCACTAGAGCCTGGCTTCAACAGTGAGTCAATCCCCATAGACTCCCATGTTAAAATGTCCAACGTTACAGCAGAAATAAACTTGTTTACAGCTTGGTACAAAAACAGTTTTGGTCTCTAAAGCTAATTTCCTCCTTCATGACAACTGTACGGATTTTTATAAAACTCAGTCCTTTATATTTTTTGAGCTTACCCGCCACAAATTAGCATCGAAGTCTCAGCTCTACACAGGCCCCTCCTCCTTGCCCATTTTTGCATTTGCAAAAGTTAGTCAAAGTCAGGCACTGCCAAGATGGCAACAGCGAAGCAGCTGACTGAGCTTCAAAACTGTTCTTCAGAAAGCTGCAGGTGACGCCTCTGAGGCTATGTCCATCTTTATTTACAGTCTATGTTTCAGACATGGCTGTACAATTAACAGGAGAGAAACAGCCAAACTGCACAGATGTCTTATATAAAATGTTACAATGAAATATTATAGAGTCGGCTGGTATGGGAGCTGTAGGATTTTTCAAATGATTATTTCACTGTTAAAATCAGCAAGGCTTTGCATTTTAATAGTGAGTGCCATTGTAGATCACATTTATCTTAGTATATGGATAGTAAACCCTGAAAATGCAATTTAACTTTGCAGAGAGGCTGATGAAATAAACCCTCAGAGAAAGACATATTGTGAGCTCTTAACAGGCTCTTAATAAAAGGTATTAGCTAAAACTGGTGTTTATGATACTGCTGCTGCTGATACTGATACTGATTCATGAGCTTGAAGTTAATCTGAAACCACCAAGAAATAACAAAATAAACAAAGCTAAAAGAAAAAAATGTTAGATGGACTGAAATATGTCAGCTGGTGGTTGGCTGTCCAGCTAACTTTTCTAAAAACCTGTGTCAAGTTGCAAAGTTTGAGAGGTTAATTAAGATTTTGATGATGGTAATTTCAACAAGGAGAGTGCAGGAAAGATTTCAACATTTAGGGGTTCCAACATCCAGTTACCAATTTTGACCCAGTTCCCTGCATTTGCTCAGCTCTGAAGTTCTTATCCAACATTTTATCACTGACAGAAGAGTATCCAGTTATATCAGCTGTAGCTAATTAACAGTTTTGTAATGGCTAAAATGATACATTCATCTTTTGCATCAGGACCCTTTTTCATGCAATTAGCTCATGAAAAATAAGCTAGTGACAGTCAGTGGGCTAATCCACATTTCACACTGTATTTTCTGCCTTTCACCTCAATTTCAGGTTGTGAACATTGATTATGTTTACTGCTAATAAACCTCTGATCATATCTGACCATCTATCTGATCTGATCATGTGTCGCAGCTGCTGTGATCTCATGGCAGGACAGTCTGTAGTTCTGATGCTGATTCTGAGGGGAAACCCAGGTTAGGGTGAAACGACTGCTCTGATCTGTACTGTCACGGTAAACAGGATGCAACTCATTTAAAGGGCTACGCCAGGATACTACGAGTGTTACTGCTGGCTCCCTCTAGAGAGCACTCCTTACTGACTGCTGTCTGAGGTGCCAGGGTTCGCTACTTCACTATCATCTTGTTTTTATAGAAATATTCCTCTTTAGACTCTGCATCGTATTAAATCCTCTTCTTCTGTTCTCTTACAAAAAGGACGCTGCTACAGCTGATCTTAAATATACTTTTATATATTTCGTGAGAGGGCAGAGCAGCTCGGAGGCTCCTGTTTTAAAAGCACAATCTGGGTCAATCCCCTCAACAGCAAGTGTGTCCTGTCAAAGTGTCCTTGAGCAAGTCACTGAACCCCGAGCTGCTTGCATACCCTGGGTCTGCTGGAGACAAACAAGCCAGCCGCACGATTGAATTATGAATATTGATGTTCTAAATATAGATATTTGCCAGAAATATAATCACCACAACACAAGATAGGAGCCTGTTTACTGAGGCACTGCAACATACAGCTGAACCATTTTCAGAGCTGACCCACTGCCAGCACACACACACACACACACACACAAACACACAAACACATAAACACGACCTAACAGCATGCACAAATAGACAGCTACCCAATGCTGTCTCATTCTGAGGACAGGATCCTCCCAGGAAACACACGCACACACACACATACACACACACACACACACACACACACACACACACACACACACTCTCAGAGTAACCCATTTATTCTGCTTGATGCCACTGCTGCCTCATTCTGAACACACAATCCAATCATGATCACATACACACATACACACACACACATAAAAACACAGTCATATACGCTGCGACCCATTTCCCCAGCTCATCTTAAAAACAGGGGATCCTCCCAGTCTGCCTACCTGGGTGCCGGCTTGTGGCAGCTGTGGGAACAGAGCCAGGGTGGTTGGTCTCTTTGGTCGATATTTGTCCATGACAGCACAGGTTGATCCCCCCTCTGACAGGCGACAGCTTCTTCCCTCCCTCCTCCTCTTCCCCCTGCCTCCTCCTTTTCTCCCCCTTTATTAACCCAGTGTCGGCACTCCTTAGCTCGGACAAGGCCTCTCCCACCCTCCTCTACCTCCCCCTCTTCCCCTTCTTCCTCCTCAGTCTCCCCAGCATCGATCAGCTCCGAGCTCGGCCTCTAGACACACCCCTTCTGCTCCCTCCTTGCGTGATCATTGGCTGGCCACAGTGTCACATCATCATCATCATCGCTATCATCACCCTGGGAAGAGCTGAGCAGAGCAGAGAGGAGAGGAGAGGTAGAGAGACAGAAGGATGAAGGAAGGAGAGCAAGAGAGATGGGTGGTGTTGAATAGAGATGGGATGAACGAGGACTGACAGGGAGAAGAAGGCAGGGAGGAGACAGAGATACAGAGAGGGAGAGAAGGGGGAGGAGGAAGTCAGGGGCAGCCAATCAGAGCAAGGCATGACATCATCAGCTCATCTGCCTGTGGCATTTTCTGTCAGTTAAAGCTAATAAGCACTGTGAGAGTGCCTGTGTTATGTGAAAAATAAGATTACACTGTTAACAGTCATCACATGGAGAGATGTGACAAACCAGTCAGTCAATCAATCAACCAAAAATGCAGCCTGCAAACCAGCGATTAAACCACAACAAACAAGGCATTCAGCCAGATAACAGAGCAGTTAACAAACAAAGCACTGTTAGTAAGTCAGTCAGTCAGTCAGTCAGTCAGTCAACCATCCAACATTTGGAAATTTATTGAACAACCCAGTCATTCAGCAGCAGCAGCAGCAGCAGCTAACGAACACGTCGATAAACCCCATCAGCCAGTCAGCAAACTAGTCAGGCAAAAGGTCATCCAGTGAATCAATCAGCTAGTCTGTCATCAATTTCTATTAGCTACCATTCCAGTCAGTGAGTCAGTCAGTCAGTCAACCTGCAAACCAGTCAGCCAGTAAAACTGTCAGATCTTTCACTCACTGAACCAACAAACCAGTCAGTCTTTAGGTCAGCCAAGAAACAAGTCAGCAAACCAATAATTTAGCCATCCACCCAACTAACCAGTCATTCAACCAACCAGCAGCTAAAGAACAAGTCAGCCATTCATTCAATCAAAACAAGCCCTACCAGATACAAAGACCCAAAGATCACCCAAGCAATATATAGCATTATATAATATGTTTTATATTAGCAAATAAATAGTTCAGTTAATCAACCAACCAGCCAATAAACTAGTCAGTGAAAGGATTAGTCAGTTAGTTGGTCAGTTAGTTAGTCTTTCAGTCACCAACAGTTAATCAACAATCATTCAGCTTGGCAGCTAGTCAGTCAACCAGGTAGATATATTAGCTAGCATTCCAAACAGTCAGTCAACCAGTCCACAAGCCATTTAGCCCCAATCAGTCAGCCAATTAAACAAACCTACCACCCAGTGAACGAACAAACCATTCAGAAACTTTGTCAGCCAGCAAACCAGCCATTTACAAACCAGTCAGCCAATAATACTGTCAAATCTTTCAATAAACTAGCCAGTAATCTCACCTCCTCCAGCCTGTTTGATGCAGGGCAGGTGGTGAATACAGTTTAACAGCCTACATAAAAGAAAAGCAATATATGTATGAAAAATTTAATTTTTTTTTTTTAATAAATAGGTTAATAAATATTGCTGGGGGAAAATTAAAAGTGTATGCTAAATGAAAATATTATAACGTAAGCAAGCATTATATGTCTTAATTGCTTTTCTATTTGGATATGGTGGATATATATTTTCCAATTCCTATGAGAAAAGCAGGAAAGAATGGTTTATTATTTGAGAATTTACTCTTATGAATGTGAAATTTTGCATTAAATATAACAAGATTTATCAAATAAAACTTATTGTTACCTTGAGTATTATGGTTATAGAAACCAAACAATACATACTCCCATTTAAGGGAAAAATTATTACAGACATTGGACATAATTTAGCATTCAGTTCCTTCCAAAGATTTCTGGAAAAGGTGCAGTCCCAAAATAAATGTGTAATGGTCTCAGTTTGAGTTTTGCAAAAAATACAAATTAGGTTAACAGTTTTTACAAATCGTGTCAAGTACTCATTTGTAGGATAAAATCTGCCTAATAATTTAAAGGAAACCTCTTTTATATTGTTATTAATCAGGAATCTATGCAGCATTATCCAAACCTTCTTCCAACAAATATTAGAAACAAATTTACTCCAATGAAAAATAATATAGGGCAAAGAGACAACCTGTTGTTGGAATAAAGCAGAAATAGCTCTATTATTTTTCTTGAGAGATAAAAAACAGATTTTGCCACCTGGAGTGTCAGCTACATTCAACAAGGAAGAGTCATCTAGAGCCACGGGGGAAGATTTTTGAAAGAGCAAACGAACTTCAGTAGAAACATTGTCAAAAACAACAGCAAATCTTTCTAATTTTAATGAACCAAAAGTATCACCTCATTCCTTTGCTGTATGGCCTGTCAACTAAATGCACTTGAGGCCAAATATCCTGTTCAGGGGGGATGAGTGCAACCTGCAGAACCTAGGGGTCTATGGGGAGTGTTTTATCATGTTGCATTCACTTGCACATCAGAGTTTGACTCTTGTAAACGTCAGTCCGGCCACAACTTTTTACTTTTTTCAATTAGACTGTCCAAAACTGGGATGCCAGGGCATTCTTTATAACCCGGTAGATCCACCCCTGTTTGTGTGCTTGTTTAACTATGGGGTCTGAGAACTGGGAACTGTAAAGAACTGTGGTTCTTTACCATGGTTCTTTTCTGTACTCTGCTGCAGTTCTTTACTGCACTCTAGTATGGGTCTTTATTGTGGGTCTTGACTTTAATTCTTTACTGTACTTCACTGTGGTTCTTTACTGTGGACTTCAAAAAGTTCTAATCTATTGCATGTTATTCCACTAGGCACATTATTTATCAGACTGATATTTTCTTAATGGATGTAAAGAACTGGAATCTGCTGTTTGTTTTATTTATTGTTTACATATATTTATTCAGCTGTGACCTGATGGAGACAAAGTTCTGCTGCAGCAGAAGACAGAATTTCATAGATGTAGATGCAACAGATCATACAGAAGTTTATAGATATAGGTGAAACAGGTGAACTGTAAAATAAAAATGAAAGCAATGGATGGACCCAAAATATAACCTCAACCTTTTATCTACACACTGATTTACACTTATTTATACACTATAAAAAACGGACAAAGGATGGAATGTCAAATTACTGTATAAATGAGAGCATAGGATGGACTCAAAATAAGAGACCAAAGCATACACTGTAAAAAAAAAAAAAAAAGAGAGACAAAAGGGTAAACTGTAAAAATGACAGCAAAGGCTTGGCCGTCAAAATAAGACCAGTGGGTACACTATAAAAAATGACAGAAAAGGATGGACTCAAAAGAAACAACTAGGACGTACACTAAAAAAAACGATTAAACGATTAAATGATTAAAGATCATGGGGTACAGGGGAGGAAATGATGGAATGTCAAAATCAAAGCCCAGGCAGTAGACTGTAAAAACTGACAGCAAATAATGGTTGGTTTAAGTTAACAAAAGGTGATACACTGTACAAAGTAAGTTAAAAGGTGTACCATTAAAATAAAAGACCAGAAAATGACGGAAAAGGAGGGACTTAATATTGAGAAGGATACACACTGCAAAAAATACCAGCAGGTAATGGACTGTTAAATAAAACACCATGGGATACGCTACAGTGTAAAAATGACAGCAAAGCCTGGACTGTATTTAAGGTAAACACAAGAAACTTGTGCTACAGAAAATGGACCAGACTCAGTGAATAGCTCCCTAAGCTTAACATCCTAAGTCCTATGATAACTATTAATTTAGCTATACAGACTAATGAGCAGTGATAACTAACATGTCTTTGGGGTCATCAGGTGGGAACCTCCTTTCACCAGTGCCCCCACCAGTTTACTATTTTCCTCACACTCTGTCCACTTCCTCCTAACTCCCTCACCAAAGAGACAACAGACCTTGCTACAAATCCTCTACATCCTACTTCCACTGGACAAATCCTAACTTTCCATCCTCGCTGCTCTGCTTCTGCCCCTAACTCTACATACCTGAGCTTTTTCCTTTCATATGCTTCTTCAACTAAAGCCTCCCACGGAACAGTCAGCTCTATGAAATATACTCTCATTCTACTCCTAGACCACAAGACTATGTCAGGCCTTAGCTTTGTACTGGCTATTTCCTGGGGAACAACAAGCTTTCCTCCTAAATCTACCTGCATTTCCCAATCACAAGCCTCCTCTAAGCTGCCTTGCCTCCTTGCTGTCTTACCAACTTTCTCTCCCTCTTGAACAAACTTGATTGCAACTCTCTTTATTTTAGGCCCTCCTAAATTTGCCTGCCTCCGTAAATCTTCAATTCCTGCAGCTAAGCTTTTTAAAACCTGGTTATGTCGCCACGTGTACCGGCCTTGCGACAGACTAACCTTACAGCCTGACAAAATGTGCTTTAAAGTTGCAGTACCTGAACACAATGAACATAACGGGTCTCCATTTACCCAGAGTTTTAGGTTCTGGGGAGTTGGCAATACATCATATGTTGCCCCTATCAAAAATCTAATCCTAACTTCCTCCATACTCCACAGCTCTTTCCAGCTAAGCTTTTTCTTGTCTACACCTTCCCAATTCAACCACTGTCCCTGCTTAGCCTGGGCCACTGCCTTTGCACCCCTTAATATTTCCTCCTGTCTACGAACCTGCTCCACAACTAGCTTTCTCTTCTCTTTGGGACCTGCTCTACTCCACACCGGTTTGCCTAGTCTAATATCATAGCATAGTCTAATATCTTGGAAATACGACCTTACTAAATTAACCACTACTCCAGGCACTCTAAAATGATCAAATGCTTCCCAAATAAGGCTATGTGGCACTGAACCAAACGCATTTGCTAAATCCAAAAATATGACATGCAAGTCTCTTTTCTCTGTCTTGGCTGCCTGAATTTGATGCCAAATCATGCTAGTGTGCTCTAAACACCCTGCGAAACCTGGTATTCCTGCCTTCTGTACTGCAGTATCTATTAAGCTATTCCTTTCTAAATAACTAGCTAATCTCCGTGCGACTATGCTAAAGAAGATCTTCCCCTCTACATTTAGGAGAGAGATCATTCGAAACTGACTCAGGTCTGAGGATTCCTTCTCCTTTGGAATAAAAACACCTCCTGCCCTACGCCATGCTCTGGGAATAACCTGTTTCTCCCAAACTATTCTTAATTGCCTCCACAAAAACTTTAGGATATCAGGTCCGCTTTTATAAACCCGGTAGGGGACTCCATTTGGCCCTGGGGCCGAAGAAGCCTTTGCACGCCTGACTACCTCCTCAACCTCCTTCCACCTGGGTGGTCTAACATCCATCTCATGATCTATCTTTCCTAATGGTGGCATGTCGGGTGGAAGGCCTACTACTCTATTCTGCTCCAAATCTGAATACGTGTTTCTTAAATACTTTTCCACTTCTAACTTTGTTGCCTTAAGCTGCCCTCCCTTTTCCTGGTTAAACAATCCTTTAACAAACTTGAAAGGGTCCCTGTAAAACGCTGTCCTTACATATTCTTTCTTCTTTCTCTTTTTCCTAAGAGATTCAGCCCTTCTAAGTACTGCTAGCCTGCCTCTCAAATCTTCTTGCAACACATTACTCCCCCCCTTCTCTTCCTCTGTTGCCCTTTTCCACTGCTTTCTTAATTGTCTTCTTTTCTTAACTAATTTTTCCGTTTCCCTTTGCCGTCTAGACTTAACTAACTGTACTCTTTCAACCCTCTTTCTGTCTTGCACCCCAAATCTTTCTGCACCATAGGAGTAAATTATATCTCCCATCTTCTCTAGTCTATCGCTTGCATTTCCTCCTAGTCTGCTTAAAATTACTGACAAATCTCTATTGACTGACTCCCATTCTTTCTTGCTATTTGCCCTCGGCCATTTAACTCTAGTTTTCTGCTCCATATTTCTCTCTCTGACTGGCCTGTTCACCTCAATATCAGCTGCATCCCCTCTTGTAGTCTCCTCTTCCCCCTCTGTAGCTGTGTTATTGATATCCTTCGAACTGTGGTTTTCTACCTGTCGCTGGACTTCATCCGACTTATTCGATTGACTTCTTAAAAAGTATCGATCGATGCGGCCACACTGCCTTTCCTTTGCAACACATCTCTTTCTTCCCTGATGCATTCTAAGGCCTCCAACTGATGTTACTTTCTGCCAGCCACAAGGACAAATCCGGAGCTTGTTTCCCTCTAGCCTAACATTTTTATTCTCTCCAGCTACGCTCATGTCACCCTGAGAACTATTCTGCCCAGCTCTAGTCCTAGAGAATAGGTCCGTGCCCCTATCCTTCACTGAGTCTCATATCCAACTCATAGTCATGTCCGTTCCAGTGTCCATTGCTGTATAGTCTGCCTGTGAGTCATCTTCCACCCCTGCTCTCGCTGACCCTTGGGGTATTTTCTTTATGTTAGACGTAGCTTATGCTGGCTGTGACAAAGACGCTAGGCCTCGCCACTGCTACCATGGATTACTAGCCCATGGTAGCACCCTTGGGGTCTATATATATATATATATATGAATAAAAGGAACCTTCAGCACAGCCATGGACCATTTTCAGTGACTGTCAGAGAAAGACAAAACACTGATATTCACAGTGCTGCTTTTGTTGTGAAAAGATAAGAAAATGATGCTCACAATCTTAAAAAACTCCAATTCAACAACAGTTTTATCCTACATTAATCATAGCTTCCACCTTTAAAAGAAGAGAAAGAAGTGTACAAGGAATGATTTAGAAAAGTTTAACAAGTAAACTGATTTAATACGTTGATCTGAAAACCTGTGAGGGAAAGAGACAAACATGTACAGACTGAACTATTTGTTCAACAGTGAGAATGTTTCTCTAACAGTAGGAGACTCTCTCTGCTACACTGAACACAGAGACACAGAGGAACCAGACCACCAGACTGCAAACCCAGGATACAGTGGTTGAGTGAATGTGGTGTTGAAGGTATGGAGGTGGATCAGTGTGTCAGAGGAGACTCTGTAGAAGGACAGAGTGCCAGCAGGATAGTCCACATACACTGCTGCTCTGTTAGACACAGAGGAGGAGGAGGGGGAGGAGGAGATTGGTTTTTGTGTGTCATTGTGCCAGACATAGTAACCATCATCAGAGCCTCTCAGACTCCAGGACTGATTGTTTAATCCAAACACACAATCTGAGCTGTTTCCTTTCTTGCTGATACTTCTGTAACTCACGGACATATGAACCATTCCTCTCCACTCGACCTCCCAGTAACAGCGACCAGTGAGACCATCTCTACACAGCAGCTGAGGCCAGTATTCAAATCTGTCTGGATGATCAGGATATGACTGATCCTCCTTCACATGTGTCACCTTCCTGTTGTTGTCAGACAGTCTGACGTTTGTATTCACTGTGTTTGTGTCGATTGTGAGTTCACAGGAATCTGATGGAGAGAACAAGACACAGCCGCAGTTATTGATCTATCATCTGAGGCTTGTACTATGAAGCAGGTTCAACATACCCAGGATAACTTTTTGTTATCTGGCTTAAGTGAACCTAACATTGTCCTGATAACCTGTTCTAAGAAGCTGGTTATCACCTGGCTCAGTTCACTCTGGGTTTTCCTATCCAACTATGAACGCGTTTATGAGAAAGAGCCAGAGTTGCTAATTATAAACAACAATGTCAGAACCATGAATAAAGTTTATATTATCATATGAGAAGAAACACTGATACCTGTTGTTAAATACAATATGATTACATGACATAGAAAAGAAATGGTAGAAATAATTTCCAATTATTAAAGTCCGGCTAAGGATATACTGTAAATAGGTGCACAAATTATTAAGTTTCTTAGTGAGTATTTTTTTTCTTTTGCCTGATGATGAACAAACTGTTATGTATATGTGAAGCAGATAAAACAGTTACAGTTAATGTCAGACTGTTTCTGCTGCAGAGAGGAGAGAAAGAAAAAAGGAGAGAAGAAGCTGATGTCTGATGAGTCAGTCTGACTGAAATGTTCATTTGTAATGATGGAAAATATTGAACAATGTGTGGATCATTGTTGGTTTAGTTTTTATTTCCAGTTCTGAAGTTCCAGATCCTCCGAAGTTAACCTGCTCAGGAGAAGGTTAGGAGTTCAGGTTAAGTTACCATGGTGAATTACCCCGTTAACCACCTGGTAGGACTGAAAAGCTAGAGTTAAACCTGAAGTTACCTCAATAACCTCAGATCCTGCTTCATAGTACAGACCTCTGTTTATTTATTGAGAGTTTGATGGTGACTCATGACATCAGGGATGTGACAGTTTGGAGATGGTTGAATGTGCTGCTTTGTTTTCATGACTCAAATTAAAAAAACACACTTACACTTCCTCAGACCTGGTTCCAACCATTGGACTCCACAAGGCTCGACCCTGAAAGGAGGAGGGGGGTCAGAGCAGCACATTCTCTTTCAGCATGCACACATTGACATTACATCACTCCCACACTATGGTTGTCACATTTAAGCACAGTTCTAACTAGATTCAAGATTCATTATTTGTCACATACATAGTTCAACTTGCAGTAAAATGTAAAATCTGGTTCCTTAACTGTGCGACAGTAGGCATAACTAATCATTGTACTTTAGTAATAATCTATTTTTTCCTCTTTGTGCTAACCTAGGCTAAAGATATCCCTGAAACTATTTCTGTGCAGACACTGAACTGATATGATCCTGGGGAAGAGGGTAGAAAAGGATATTTCTCAAAATGAAGGCTACTTTAAGATAGAAATCTGTCCAAACAGCAAAAATCATTACCAACAAGCAATTATCACTTTTGCTCCTGGAGATGCTTGGAGACACCGTTCACGTCTCCTTTTCATGTTCAACCAATGTTGTTTTGCATGAAGTAAAAAGGCTTCCTAAATATGTGATTGTTCATATAACACTCAATGAAAATTCTCTATTGTTACAACTGCGGTTGTATTGTATTTCATTGTATGTGTTCTCTTTGTGTTTTGGCAGGTAGCATGATCATGATGTATGTAAATGTATGTATGCCGTGACCAGACAGTGATTGGGGCGCAGCTTTGGCAGTGGCAGCTGATTGGCAGTGGCAGCTGATTGGCTCCTGTCCTGGCCACCAGCATTTAAAGAGCAAGATGGTGCAACCAAGCAGCTTGAGGGGAGAGCCACTTCTTTCGCCCATCCCAACCAGCCACACGTTACCACCGCCATACGTCTTTGTGCATTGTAATTTGACAGAGCTAGTAGGGGTGGACTGCCTTTTTTAGTTCTGAACCCCTTTTCTCCTGTTTTTGTGAGACAGGGAGCTTAGTGGATGTATTTTGGTTTTGGTTATCTTTAGGCAAGTTATGTTTTGTTTTCAGGTAGACTTTTGTTTGTTATTTTGGCCTATGTCCACCCTGAAGTTATAATTTGCTCATTGTTAAAAAATAAAGACTCCCGTCGATAAGATTAATAATTCGTTTCTGTGGCTACTTGGGACTCGGGAAAGATGTGGTATTCATGTTGTGTCTTGGCCACCCCTAGACGGGACATAACATCTATCAACATTGTCTGTTGCTGCAGTAGACTTCTCCATACCTGAGAGTGTCCAGTCTCCAGTATGGCTTCCCCGGTCCAGCAGACAAAAGCTTCACTCCTGTGTCTCCTGGATGATTGTAGCTCAGGTCCAGCTCTCTTAGATGGGAGGGGTTGGAGCTCAGGGCTGAGGCCAGAGAAGCACAGCCTTCCTCTGTGATCAGACAGCCTGACAGACTGAACAGACACACAAAACGGGTCTAACGGTATCTCGGATACAAGAGGCTGAAAGGAGTTTCCTATGTAGGGTTGGTGGGCTCAGCCATAAAGATAAGGTAAGGGGGTGTCCTCAGACGCAACTTTGAGAACCTAAGAGGCTCTTAGTATTCTTAAAATCTTAAATTGCTTGAAAATTGTGCATTTAAATGTTTTTAAAAATAATATTTTTTTAAATCTCCCAAAGAGGATTCCTCAGTCCCTCTCCAAAGGTTTGGGCTAAGCCCCCATTGTCTTGAATTCCCAGTATTGAACAAACATCAGAGGATCACCAAAGTTATTACAAGTCATTCTGAGGAGAACATGAATGTGTACATTTCATCAAAATCCATCCAATAGTTGTTGAGGTAATTCAGTCTGAGCCAAAGCAATGGAGCAGCATTATCATCTATAGAGTCATGCTTTTAGTGACGTTAAAAACATTAAGATTTGTTGATGAAGATTGAAGCTCTTGTCAAAAAGGGAGAAAGAGACTGTGCTGTGTGCACGCACAAAAGAAAAACAGTGACTTGGTATATCAAAGTAGCCATGAGACGGAGGTAACTAGTCTGCCTTTTATCGTGAAAACAGTGCTTGAGGTTCTTCAAGTTCCTCTCTGAACACTTAGCTTTATGTTTTGGTTTATATTTGTTTAGGTACATTTCGATCCAGATACAATCTTTGGAGACAAATTTAGAATAAATGTTAAATGAAAATTACCTGAAGCATTTTGAATATTTAAACAATAAATCAAAAGAAGTTGATGACAAATTCTCATGGAGAATAATTAATGGAGAAAGTATAAAATATATAGACAAACATGACAGTATCCTCAAATGTAAATCAGATTTTAAATGGTCATATATTAAAACAGGTTGATGATCCTGACCTTAGTATTTTCAGTGCACAGTGTGGACTCTCCAGTCCAGCAAACAGCAGCTTCACTCCTGAATCCTGCAGGTTGTTGTTACTCAGGTCCAGCTCTCTCAGACTAGAGGACTGGGAGCTTAGAACTGAGGACAGAGCTTCACAGCTTCTCTCTGAGAGATTACAGCCACTCAGCCTGAAGAGGTGATAATAAGGAATGAAAGAAGAAAGGAATTTATTTTCTCCCCTGTCAAAAAGATAGCAGTGTTTTTATATAATAATAAATAAATCCAACTATCTATACACTTACAGAGCTTTCTTGGAGACTTTGACCACTGGCAGCAGCCTCAGAAGAGCCTCCTCTGAAGCACAGTATTTCTTCAGGTCAAACACATCCAGATCTTTTTCTGATGACAGTAAGATGAAGACCAGAGCTGACAACTGAGCAGGAGAGAGTTTATCTGTAGAAAGATTTCCTGAAATCAGGTATTGTTGGATCTGCTCTACCAGAGAACAATCATTCAGTTCATTCAGGCAGTGGAATAGGTTGATGCTTTTCTCTGCAGAGGGAGTTTCTTCGATCTTTGTCTTGATGAATTGGACTGTTTCTGGATTGGTGTGTGAGCCACTTCCTGACTGTGTCAGCAGGCCTTGTAGGAGAGTCTGATTGGTTTGCAGTGAAAGACCCAGCAGGAAGCGGAGGAACAAGTCCAGGTGTCCATTTGGACTCTTCAAGGCCTCATCCACAGCACTCTGGTAGAAGTTTGACTCTGCAGATTTATCTTCTCTTGGTTCAGACTTCTGGGAGGTTGATTGTTCTTCTGACATCCGATTGACTCCAGAGTTGAAGAAGGTCAGATGGACATGAAGAGCAGCCAGAAACTCCTGAACACTCAGATGAACAAAGCAGAACACCTTGTCCTGGTACAGCCCTCTCTCCTCTCTAAAGATCTGTGTGAACACTCCTGAGTACAGTGAGGCTGCTATGATATCGATGTCACACTCTGTCAGATCTGATTCATAGAAGACCAAGTTTCCTTTCTGCAGCTGGTCAAAAGCCAGTTTTCCCAGAGACTCAATCATTTTCCTGCTCTTTGGACTCCAGAGTGGATCTGTCTCAGCTCCTCCATCATACTTGACGTTCTTCAGTTTAGTCTGAACCACCAGGAAGTGGATGTACATCTGAGTCAGGGTCTTGGGCAGCTCTCCTCCCTCTCTGGTTTTCAACACATCCTCCAGAACTGTAGCAGTGATCCAGCAGAAGACTGGGATGTGGCACATGATGTGGAGGCTTCGTGATGTCTTGATGTGAGAGATGATCCTGGTGGCCTGCTCCTCATCTCTGAATCTCTTCCTGAAGTACTCCTCTTTCTGTGGGTCAGTGAACCCTCTGACCTCTGTCACCATGTCAACACACTCAGGAGGGATCTGATCGGCTGCTGCAGGTCGTGTGGTTATCCAGAGGTGAGCAGAGGGAAGCAGTTTCCCCCTGATGAGGTTTGTCAGCAGCATATCCACAGAGGTGGACTCTGTGACATCAGTCAGGATCTCAGTGTTGTGGAAGTCCAGAGGAAGTCGACACTCATCCAGACCGTCAAAGATAAACACAACCTGGAACTGTTCAAACCTGCAGATTCCTGCTTCTTTGGTTTCAGTAAAGAAGTGATGAATAAGTTCCACCAAGCTGAACTTTTTCTCTTTCAGCACATTCAGCTCTCTGAAAGTGAGTGGAAATGTGAACTGTATGTCCCGGTTGGCTTTGTCTTCAGCCCAGTCCAGAGTGAACTTCTGTGTTAAGACAGTTTTCCCGATGCCAGCCACTCCCTTTGTCATCACTGTTCTAATTGGTTCAGCTCTTCCAGGTGAGGATTTAAAAATGTCTTCTTGTCTGATGGTTGTTTCTGGTCTGACTGGTTTTCTGGATGCTGTTTCTATCTGTCTGACTTCATGTTCATCATTGACCTCTCCAGTCCCTCCCTCTGTTATGTAGAGCTCTGTGTAGATCTGATTCAGAGGGGTTGGGTTTCCTACTTTAGCGATCCCCTCAAACACACACTGGAACCTCTTCTTCAGATTAGATTTGAGTCTAGGCTGGCACATAGCAGGAGATTCTGAAAGAAGACAAAAACACATTTCAAGTAGCTTTATATGACTTTTCTGACCCAAAGTTAACAACTAACAGCAACTGACAAATGACAATGAGTATAGAGTATTCGTGTGGCAAGATCTGTAAGAACATGAGAGGCCTAAAGATCCATCAATCAAAGATGAAATGCAAGGAGAGACTGCAAGCCCTACAATGCACTAGTTTAACACCTGGTGAGGCGAGGCACAGGAGTAGCCAGACCTGGAAACACCCCACAGAGCCCAGAGCCTCCAGTCAGCCAAAGGAGACATGGAGACAAGGCTGCAAACTATGACAACCATCAGAGGCCCTGTTCAGACCTGGTATTAACATGCGTCTTCAGTGATCCAATCACAAGTGGTCAGCTATAAGTACATCAGTTCACACCTGGCTTTGATACTTTGGTTTTACAGGGACAGAATGGCTCATAGCAATGGGTCCGGGACCCCATACTCCTGCAGTACCCCCCACAGCTTCCCCCAGGTGGAAAAAAACTCCCATGCCCTCCTCAGTACTCTCGTCAGGGTAAAGAGCTGGTCCACTGTTCCACGGGCAGGGCAGAATCCGCATTGCCCCTCCTGAATCTGAGGTTCCATAATCGGTTGGAGCCTCCTTTTGCAGCCTCCTGGAGTAAACTTTCCCTGGAAGGCTGAGCAGTGTGATACCCCAATGATTGAAGCACACCCTCCTGTCCCCTTTTATAAAAATGGGAACCACCACCCCGGTTTGCCACTCCATAGGTACTGTCCCCAACCTCCATGCGACATTAAAAAGGCATGTCAGCCAAGACAGTCCTCCAATGTCCAGCATCTCAGCTGCCGAGGAGCTTCTTGACTACCTCAGCGACCTCTGCCAGGATTATAGATGAGACTTCCCCCAAGTCTTCAGACTCTGACTCCTCCACAGTGGACGTTTTTGCCAGATTCGGGAATTCCTCAAAGTATTCTTTCCACCGCCCAACAACATCTCCAGTCCAGGTTAGCAGTTCTCCTCCACGACTGAATACAGCCTGGGTCAAGCCCTGCTTCCCCTTCCTGATTCGCCACAGCGCCCAACTGTCGCTTCTGCAATAGAAGTTTTGAACATGGACCACTCGGACTCCATGTTCCAAACGTACCCTGTGATGTATGAGAAATTCTTCCGGAGGTGTGAGTTGAAGACCTCACTGACAGGGGCATCCACCAGATGTTCCCAGCACACCCTCACTACACACTTGGGTTTACCAGGTCTGTCTGACAGCCTTCCCTGCCATCTGATCCAACTCACCACCAGTTGATGGTCAGTTGACAGCTCTGCCCCTCTCTTCACCCAAGTGTCTAAAACTTATGGCTGCAGATCTGATGATACGACTGCAAGGTTGAGCATCGACCTTTGGCCTAAGGTGCTCTGGTACCAAGTATACTTATGAGCTACCTTATGTTTGAACATGGTGTTTGTTATGGCCAAACTATGACTACAACAGAAGTCCAATAAAAAGCACCACTTGGGTTCAGATCAGGGAGGCCGTTCATCCCAATCACGTCCCTCCAGGTTTCTCCATCATTGTCCACATGGGAGTTCCCCCCCCCCAGCAGAACTATAGAGTCCCTAGGCGGAACCCTTTCCAGGACACCACCCAGAGACTCCAAGAAGGTGTGGTACTGTGAGCTGTTGTTTAGTGCATAGGCACACACAACAGTCAGATGGACTAGACGGGAACAAGTTGCAGAGAGGAAGAGAAATCCTCTTACTGCTCTGCAGATAGTCAGCCAGCTCCTCCTGCTTCATTCTCCTCAAGAAGTTCAGTGTGATCTTCAGAAATGCCTCTCTGCTGCTCCTCCTCAGTTCTTCATCCTCACCACCCAGCACCTCCTCATCCTCCCTTGGACTCTCTAAGCATTCTGGGTACCCTGGACTCAGAACCTTCTGGAACTTCTTCAGCTCATTCTTCACAAAAGTGACCATGTTCTCCTCCAGCAGCTGGAACAGAAAACTATATGAAAGACACCATCAAACTAAAAACATGGAGCCAAACATCAGATCAATGTTGGACTGACAATCCACTTGTCTAAAAAGTGCAGCATGGAGATTTTTGTGAAGAGACCAGATGTAACAGTAGTAGTTGTATATATACAGACCATAAATATGGAGTCCAGCTGTGTTTGATGCTGCTGGGCAGACTGACCACTGGGAACCTCGGAACTCTCCTGGTCCACGCTGTGGAGGAATCATGAAGAAAGAGTTCACATTATGTCCACACAGAGACAAACACAAGCTAAAGATTTATGAAGTGATGTTTGTCTGTGGACAGTGAATCAGATGACTCCCTTTACTGGTAAAGGTTTGCTAGTCCTTCTGATCCCACTGAGAATCAACAACAACTGGCTTCACCAGTCAGTTTGGTTTAGTCCTAACAGCTCTCAGCAACCCCCCATATAGCTCTCCCTCCCTCATTGAACACTGCTTAAGTGCCCTTAAGCAAGGCACGTAGAACCTCCAGCTGTTCCAGTGGAGCTGCTCAGTGTCTGCTTGTATCAGACTGGTTGTATGGGTAGTTATTCTATGAATGTGTTTGATCCCCAGCTCCTTCAGTCATCCACAGCTCCTAAAGTCTGCATGTCAAAGTGTCCTTGGGCAAGATCCTCAGTCCCAAATGGCTGTGCCATCAGCATGCATGCGTATGGGTGAACGTGCATTTAGTTTAGGGGGTGGTTGATAAGAAAAGCATGATACAAGTGCAGACCATTTACCATTTAATTGAGTAATTGGTTGCACGCTAACAAACTGCAGCTACAATGCTAATGCTGGGGACAAGCAGTACTGTATACTGAATGTATATACTGACCAAAAGTTTTAGAAAAAGAAATATAGGTCACCAAAAATGGAACAAGACTAAGTCAAAACCTAACTGGACATGTATGATCTGGGGGTGAAATTGAGGACATAATTGAAAACTGTTGTGGAACTACTGCAAACAATGGAAACTAGCTTAAGCTGCTGGAAAAGTCACTTAATGACGTAATATGCTAATTTATGATGTCATTGTGTTGTATGATCATTCTGCCTAATGTCAGCTGCTCTTTATCTGTTTCATTGTCTCCTCCTCTGTGCCCATATGTATTTTAATATAGCTGAATTCATAGTAAAGCTGCCGTAAATCTTTTTTAAATGTTTTTCTGTTTCTGTTGTCGACAATGGACAGTGTCTAAAATGTGGCCCATTAAGATTATATGTTAACTAACAGTCACTTCTAAGCTGCTGCTCTGCTGTTGCTAAAGTCATGATTTTCTAACCGACGTTGTCTGACAACATCACCAAACACATCAGCTTACTTGTGTTTACTGTAAAATGATTACTCACAGAGAAAGTTAAAAGCTCATTCAGCTGCTTTGTGGTCAGAGAGGTGTGTCTGAAGAGGGAAAGCCTGACCTTTTGCTCACGGGGCAATACTGGTGACCAAAGTAGCTAAGGTTTGTTCAAGGTCATTAGATTGGTTATCTATAACTATAACAATGTAAATTTGTCACAATAGTTACAACAACATAATGACAGTCTTCCTAAATTCAATTCACTGCTGGACGCAAAAATGAAAAGGATCCCTGAAGCAAGCTGATTTTGAGAACTTAAATAAAAAAGATTTCATCAGAGTTTGTGTAGCTCAGCTTCTTTTTTTTGACATCTGCCTGCAAATCAGTTCTTCATTAAAAGAGGAGTGTGTTTTCTGTGTGGTATTCTATGGTGGTCAGAGCAAGTGTTCAGCAGAGCGTTTGATGCATGAATGGTGTATAAAGCTTTTCCTTTAGAGTAAGTTCAAACATGAATCAGGTTTAGGTCCGGGAGAGTCTGAGCTCCAATTTATTGGGACAGAAAAACTCCTCTTATAATTCTAAGCTCAAAAGTTCAGTAAAATTCTCTCTGCACAAAATTGTCCTTAAAATATGTGTAATTTTAACAGTTTTAATACAGAGCTGGAAAATAAACCGAAATGATCAAGTTATAGACACAGTGGACGAACTTACTCACATCAGAAATATCCATGAATCCTAATGTCAAATAACTAAACTGAGAACAATTTATATAAATGTAGATTATATTGTCCATGCCTGCTCTGTTACTGAAGACAACTTACTTTTTATGGCATAAATAATGTTGTTTAAAATTTATAATATCAGCCTTTGACAGGTCACTCTTGAGGGACACACAGCTGGGTAAAGGTTCAACTCCAGCAGAGTCTAGTGTCTGATGGATCCTGATTTAAAAAAAAAAACAAAACACACATTTATTGAAACTCACATGTTCACTAAAAGTCTCATTGCATATATCTATATATATCTATATATATATATATAGATATATATAATATAAAATATATGAAAATTCTTAACAAATAAATGTAAATAGCAACTTACTTTTTGTCAGAGAAATGTTTAAAATTAATAATATCAGCCTTTGAGTGCTTGCTCCTTAGGGACACACAGCTGTGTACAGATTCAACTTCAGATTCAACTTCAGGACCATGTCCAACACAACACTTTGGGCTTGAAGACAACACAACACAGAGCTTTGAGTGTGAATAATGATGGAGCAGTGATCTGAGTTATGGACAGTTAGAGATCCTCATATTACCTCTGAGCTCTGGTCTGGCTGTCATGTTCCCCACACAGAGTGGTTTTAGAGGGAAGGGCTCCCTCCTCTCTGTCCTCACACTGATCCATGCTGCTGAATTCACATCCACATCAGCTCACAAACACTTTCTACCTTCATCTGCAGAGGAAACACACATCATTAATCCGCACATGAACTGAAATTTACATAATGTCTCCTATAAAAACATTAGCTTCTCCTCCACTCATTGACTCCCCTCAGTTGAATGCAGTCAGACAGCAGTGAGGCAGAGGAAGCTGTCATCAGCAGCTGCACTTCTACTATCACTGCACTAGATGGAGTCATGAAGCTGCAGTGAAATGAAGAGCAGCCCAGCACACACACAACTGTTACAATCAGTCAGTAGTGTAGCCACAACATGGCTAATGGATGGGCCTGGAAAAATCTGAATAGGTATTTCTTTAAACCTAAACACTATGAAAATGATATGGGGTGAAGAAACCAAACCCATGGTGAAGTGTGAGATTAGAATTCAGACTGGACAGTGCGGCAGTAAACATAACACCAGACATATCTGAACTTTAGTAGTTTTCTCCATTCATTTGATATTCCTGTAATAACATCCTGTAAATGATCTACAGGTAATTGCTTTGCCATTGGTTAACTGTTGGTTACCACCAGGCTACTTGTTTTAAACTAATAACAATAGCTACCACTAATTCGGTGCTGCTCATTTCTGGAAGACAGTCGATTTGGTATGAGAGGTGGGAGTAAAAATAAATAACTGATGAGGAAAGATGGAGGTGATGGAAATGCTGAGTGATAAATTGTGAACTGAGTTGATTAATTTGATTGACATTTGAAATAGTGTTGACATTTATTGTTTACAGCAAGCAATTTTTGTTACTTCAACCCAAAATGTCAATCAAAGACCACGCTCACTGATGGAGTTTTTTGCTCTCAAACAGGCTGTATAGCTGTCAACTTGCAGGCACTTCAGCTAGGACTGCATAGCCTCTGTTCATCTTCATTTATACATGTATTTATTTTTATTGAAATGTGTAAAAATCTGTAAAAAAAAAAAAACCCACTGAAACCACAAAGGCAGTGCTGTTGTAAACCTTCCTTACTATGTATTCAGCTTCATCTTTTCAGACTAACTAGTAACAAATATTAGATTTCAACTCTGATTTCATTTCCCATCTGACAGCTGACTAGCATCTTTTAATGGGACACTTAGTTTGGACACGCAAGGAAAAATGTAAACCCTCTGGAATGACAAGGTTGTATTCATTAATTAGTCATAAAATAGGATCAGATCTTCATCTGAGTCACAAGAACAGATAAACACAATGTGTTTAAGCTAATGTCACACAAACAATTATAATGTTTTGTGTCCTCATTGAACACACCCATTAAAACATTACCAGTGCTGGTGGAAAGCTTGGATTTAATAACTGATCGAACCTCCTCTGGCTCCAAAACCTAAAACCAGCTCTTACAGTAGCTGCTGTTCAGACCTGCTCAATGATCAGGAGGCAGACAGACAGGCAAACATATTCTCAGGATGTGTGGTGTGAGCTCTTCTGCTCAGTCCACAGCATCTTTACTGGATTAAGGTCTGGGCTCTGACTGGACCACTCCAGAAGATGGATTTTCTTTGTCTGAAGTCATTCTGTAGTAGATTTACTTTAATGTTGACTCTGTGACCCTTTCAGCTTCATGCTCATAAACTCTCCGTCCTCCTCACACTCAGATCTTTGTTGTGAGGCCTGGTTCACACCAGCTGATGTTTCTCTTTATAAGTCAAAGTGCCTCCAGTCTGGTTTCACTGACTCCAGGTCTGATAACTCCTGACTACAGTTAGCCTATGTTCATGTTATTAGTCGAGCAGTTCACACACTTTTTTTTCCCAGCTACACTGTAAATCTTTGAATGATGTTTTCAATATGAACAAGAACAACACAATGATTTGTGTTACTAATTAAAATAGATTGTGTTAGATCAGTATTGTACAAGAGTTCCTCAAACATTCTAAGGAAATAAGAGCTTAACAACTACGACAAACATTATATTACATTACATTACATTACATTACATTACATTACAAGAAATACAGACTGAAGTCACTACAGACAAAGTGAACGTATCAAACAAAGTAAACTTACACTTGGTTCAAACAAAGAAGATGACTCTCTACTCAATGCCTGCAGAGAACAGGGTGTTACATAGATGAGCTGTGTCCTGAAATGAGACGGGCTGCACCTGTACTGGAAGCAGGCCAGGTAGGAAGGGCTGGAACAGCTTCTATGGTTGTTGGCAGTTTTGACGGTACTGGGTGTGTGACTGTTCTCTGAAGTAGAAATTATTAAATACTTGGTTCACAGTCCATATTCTTGGATACAGACGTGTATCATGTATCATGAAGAACTTCTGTTGTAAACAGTTGGTGGTTCACATTTTGGCTAAAGAAAGATTTGACTGAAAACATAACACCTCTTCCATCTGACATACTCTTACCAAAAGTTTTCCTTCCGTGTTGTATTTACTACTTTTTAGGAAAACATGCTGAACTGTCAGAAGACTTCAACAGTCACATAATCAAGTGGGATATTTTCCTATAATGTGTAAAGACCTGTACAA